ACAGGCTTATTACAGGACTAGGAAATAGCAATTATTGTCATTTCTACTGAACTGTTATACATACAGATTGTCATTTCTACTGAACTGTTATACATACAGATAGGCTTATTACAGGACTAGGAAATAGTAATTATTGTCATTTCTACTGAAATGTTATGCACTAAAAATATTTAAAAAATGTAAAGGCAGATATTATCCATTTGCAAGATTTTCATCTCATTTGCTGTATATCTGTTCAGGTACCACTTTATCTGCTGTACATCTGTTCAGGTACCACTTTATCTGCTGTACATCTGTTCAGGTACCACTTTATCTGCTGTATATCTGTTAAGGTACCACTTTATCTGCTGTAAATCTGTTCAGGTACCACTTTATCTGCTGTACATCTGTTCAGGTACCACTTTATCTGCTGTACATTTGTTAAGGTACCACTTTATCTGCTGTATATCTGTTCAGGTACCACTTTATCTGCTGTATATCTGTTCAGGTACCACTTTATCTGCTGTACATCTGTTCAGGTATCACTTTATCTGCTGTACATCTGTTCAGGTACCACTTTATCTGCTGTATATCTGTTAAGGTACCACTTTATCTGCTGTAAATCTGTTGAGGTACCACTTTATCTGCTGTACATCTGTTCAGGTACCACTTTATCTGCCGTACATCTGTTTAGGTACCACTTTATCTGCCGTACATCTGTTCAAGACTCTGCCTGTAAGACGACAGATATACAACAATGTAAAGAAAAAGAAAGAGGAGCTGAAGAAAGTGGAAACGTTAGTGATGGCATTTGGACTGATATTTCCCACCATCAGGATCACACTTCGTCATAACAAAGACCTAGTGTGGCAGAAAAACCCTGTTCAAGATCTTCGTGCCTCCATCACTGGAGTTCTTGGCAAAAATGTTTTGAATCAAATTGAATATAAGAAGTTGGAAAGTTTAGATCCAGAGGTATGGTATTATATCATCAGAGCTCAAAGTGATGCATGTTTTATTTGCCAATATATACTATCCTAAATAAATGTACATGTAGCTATATATAGGGTCTACATGTGGACTCAGGGTGCTATCTTTCGGATGGATTCAAACCAATATGTGTCAAATCTTCTGATTGGCAGAGATTTGTTGGGAGCCTCCTCAGGCTTATTATAAATTATCCACACAAGACTCGCAATAAGACTTCTCATGTCTCCCTTTGAATGAAAGGGAGACATATTGTATTAGTATTACTGATTCTTCCTTTCATATCTTTCCTGGGCAAATGTTAAAAATGTATTGATGAAATTTATAGGAAATTTGCATTTAATACCCATAGCTGTGCAGTGTCCTGGTACTGTGATCAGAAGCCATGACCTTCACTCTTGGTCAGAGGTCAGATAATTGCTAGTATTGGTGAAGTCTTGTTCAATCTGTAGATTTTCAGATACCAGTATATGTTTTCATGTTAACGTCTTGTGTGAAAGTTCAGGACCACAAATCAAACTTCTCATAAATATTTATTTATCAATATTTAAGCAAAGGATATTTATTACTTATTATCATTATTCATTTCATTAATTCAAATCTTAACAAAAGGAGTCAATATTACAGTACAACCATGAAAATTAATTATTATTCATAAAAATCAAATGATTTGGTGTTTGATATTTGAATTAAGATTTTTTTTGTTTTTGTTCCTTGGCCCTAATACAGATTATTGTGGAGATGTATGTCCCCAGAAGTGACAGTGACCCTCAAGTGACCAGTCGATCCACTGCTGACCGGTGTTTTATTTATGTAAACTCACGACCAGTCATTCTCAAAGACATTGAAAAGGTGATTCCAGACATTCTTAGGACAAAGAAAACAGTTTTGAGTCATTCACCTAAGGCCAGCCTAGATAATATTTGTTTGCTACGCACTGACTTACTTTCTATGAATGATCAAAATAGTTTTACGTATGTGTGGGAAAACTGGTTTCTAGTGTCAGTTCTGTTATATACTTTAACTGTTTATTATCCTTGTGTATTCCTTTGTTATACCATTCTACAAGTAACCAAACACTACGGTTTGGCTGCGCGTTGGACGTATGCTTCCTGTCGAGCAGCAGCTATCGCCGGTACAGTCTATTTGTTTACATATAGGTGTATTAACATTTGAGACGACCAGATTTTGGTGAGTCGTCAGAAGACATTCTGACCTCACTGCACATATGCCATAGATTTGGCCAATCAGAATGTGTGTGTGATACAGTAGGGCCGAGAGGCTGGGGAATAAATCAGGATGCACAAGCAAATACAGTGACTTGCATGGCCAGTTACTGGCTGATTGGGAGAAGTATCTTCTCCACCCCGAGCAGTGTAACAGTGCTGCATGTGTACTGTAGCAGTACAGCCCCGTTAGGGTGTAGGCATACCGTAGGGCAGTGTATTGGGTGGGGGTGGACTTCATATATATATATATCTTTGGTTATATCTATAGGCCTAGTTTACCACGTGGTAGTGTTGTTCCGATTAATCAATTTAGTCAACGTCTGGTTGTTTGTTTCTGAAAATCGATTAATCGATCCTTGTTTTCCATGAACGATTCTAAGTTGACTAATTTAAATATAAACAAAAATAAACTTGGATACTGTTATTACCGCCGACATCAAGTTGTTTGTTCTTGGGCAAAACAACTTGACCGAACGTCTCGCACAACGACGATGCTGATTGGCTAGCCGGTCCACCCGACAACCAATCAGAACTTGCATTTCAATAGAAATGCTGAATGGCTCTGTCAGTGCGTGACGATATATATGGCAAACCAGGACATTTCGGAGATTAAACTCTATGGTCATCCGGGGGCTACTGATTTAAACGTTTGGAAGGTATTGTTTGTCCTTAGCTGGATATAAACTATCTTGCAAATAAAATGTTAAGTTTGACGGGGTGTCTTAAGGTGAATACCAATCCATCACAGCATTTCTGAATACAAGATGCAGCGGTCACAGCATAATTGACATTATAAACATCATCAATTTCATTTCCAAATACATATATTTTTCAATAATTATAAGGTTCTGTCAACAAACTTATTGTTTTTTGTATGAATGTTGTGTGTTATTAGCGAAATTCTCTTAACGTCGGGGTTTCCCCGCTAATGAAAGTGAAAGTAGATTCCTGAAAGCGAATATAACCTTAAATTACTAAATTTAAGTTCAATTTGATCGATCAATAGTCGATCATCAGTTACTCAATTGGAAGTGATAATCGAGTATGAATTTACAAGCGATTCCCAACACTACCACATGGGGGCTCTATAGGTTTACTAAATACAACCTTTCTTTTACCTTACTGTATCAACTTTGTTCTAATTCGTATACTGTATATTGTTGTTATAACTGTACTTTCATCATATTGAACGGCTAACTCAGTCGTGTACTATGAAATATGATTGGTTTATGACTCTGATGCTCCTTCACCTCTGTCGGACCTGTGTCTGCGTACAGACGGACGCAGTAGGAGGTTCCTGGGGATTTCCAAGGGTCAGTTTGTCGGTAGTCTTTGGCTAAAACAAATTACTATATCATATCATTCATCTACCGACACTTGCAAGGCTTTACCTACGGACGTCCTTTTACAAAATATATATTACAGACAAAATTGTATGATGCTCCTAGGGTTGAAAGAAATGACAAGGCAGTGTTCTGATGATCGAAATTGAGAATCCAGTTTCTTTTATGTCTAAAATACCAATCAAAATTGTTTTGCACATATTTAAATGGAACTACCCTTATTGTGAAGTGAATTGGTAGGGCCATTGGGATTCATAAGAGCCATGATTTTCTGTTTATGTCTATGTATCAAGTAGTTTGTTGGGGTTTCAATACTCAACCTTTTCCAAGAGATTTAATTATGAAGCATACTTTCAACATTGTCCTTGGTTCATATTTGAGAGTAAACGATGTATGGTCCGTTTCAAAATTGATCATAAACGAAGGATAGAAGGCAGTATTTTCAAAATGAAAATTTAATATTGTTTAGTGAGTATGGATATCACTGCTTTTCATGCATTTCTTAGAATGTTGTCTTGAACAATTTATGATTGAAAATCTCCTAATTCTGAGTCATCTTACAATTGATCAATCAATATTTTGCCTTTAAACAAAAAATTGACCTGTTGCTTAATTGTGATACATGGTTATTACGTTTCAGCTGCTGAAACAGTACTATGCCTCCTCACACTCCTGTGATGGAGCACGCGTGCCTGTCTGCTGTGTGTCAGTTGTGCTGCCCTCTAGTGAGATTGATGTGAACCTTGACCCCAACAAAACACGAGTACTTCTTCACCATCAGGTACCTGCAAGTTTTAACCTTCGACAAAAAGTTCTAATATTCAAATCTTGTTTGACCCCAACAAACTCCTTACACTGGTGAAAGTTTTAGAACAGTTTCAGTTGATAGCCAAATTTTGTTTACTACATTGGTTAAATGCTTTTGCTTAAATGCAGTTTCAATTGGTAGGCCAATTTTGTTTTAATTGTTTCATTGAAAAAGGCATTGGTTATAAATTGGAAAGATAAGGTTTGTAAATAAAATGTAGAATGTCCCAAGTTAGGAGAACACCATGCACCAGATAAGCACCTACGTGCGGTATGGCCTATTTATTACATGTATAAAAGAAAAACCCATGTTTCTTCACATTTTACACATCTCCAACTTTATATTGTTGCAGATATTTTAATTGTACATAGAATTGGTCGCCTTCTAGTTTCTCGCTAGAGAGAATTTCTCTTTAGCTCAGTGGCAGAGCGTCTGACTAGTGGAATCATCCGGTGGAAGCACACTACTCTCTTTCCTGTTACAAATGGTGTCGGTGGGCATCCATGTACTGACAGGGAGTTAGAACCTGGGTTGAGGTGTTCAAAGGCAACACATTTTAAAAAAATACGAAAGTAGTGTGGCAGAAATTACTCGATGCATGTGGTAGAGCATCCCACTAGGAAGTCTGGGATAGCTACTCCTTTCATGTTTCAATATGAGCAATGTTACACTAAACCCTGTCTAATCTGACATATTGTGGGGCACAACATATTGGTCAGATTAGACAGGGTGTTGTAGTACACAAGTGGTATTTGATCAGATTCATAAGAAAGGAAATGACAGGATATCATAATACACGGCAGAATAGATAGGTTTTACCTTAATAGGTACATTAATTTGTTTTTGACAGTATCTGTTTTAACACCTTTACAAGGAAATATCCCTTGGATAATGAATGTACATGTATTGCTACTAAAAAAAATGTAGTTTAAATATCTAATTTTATCCTGTCATCTGCATACATACAATTCTGCTCCAGGTATCTGTTGCAACTGTGGTCAGAACTCTCTTGGAGGAAGTGTATGGGGCAATAGAACCAGCAATTTCCAGCACTAAACAGAAATCAAATGTTGATGAGGATTCGGCTGAATTATCTACCATCTCTGATCAATCCTTGGAGCTGAGTTTAGACATGACCTTTAGGACAAATGACCAGCAGAGGGACAATTTTACAAAAATAACTGCTTTAGAAAATACAGTAAATTGTGATAAACAAATACCTTTCTTTAAGGTTACCATGGAAACCAGTGACGGTAACAAATCAGACAATTTAACGGTACAAGATCAGGTGATCCCAGAAGGAGTTAAAATCTGCTCTAGAGGGAAATCAGTCTCTATTGACATGGATTCAAATAGGATTGTGAGAGAAGGTGATATTTCAGAACTGGAAGTACCACATGTACCAACAAACGTTATAACACCACCTATTGCTAGTACTAAGAAACAGGAGCAGATAACTCTATTTCATGAAGAAATTGTGAGGACACAGAAAGGTTGCTTTGATATTGTGGGAGACTGTTTGAAAGATGTGTTAACTGATGATGATAGTCTGTGTGAAATGATGGAAGATGTTCCCGATTCACAAACAAAGGGAGATAATCATGATTCTCAAACAAAGGGAGACAACCCTGATTTACAAACCAAAGCATTCCTTCAAGAGACAAATTCAGATTTGTTCGATGATAGCCTAACGGACATGTTGATAACTCTGGAACAGAAAAAAGATATATTAATGGTCAATTCAGACTCCAAACAAACTGATGACAACAGCAGGTCAGAGGTCACACCTGGTAGTGAACTCTGGAGTAAAGGTCAATTGTTAGCTGATTCTGGCAGTGCTGTTTTACAGGTAATAATTCTTGCCATTAGCAAATCATTGTGTCCGTCAGTCCGTCCATCCACTCTTTCGTTTCCAGAGATTATTTCGAAATCTGAAAGCCTTATCTTTCTGAAATTTGACGTGGTTTTCAGATGTGCAATAGGGGTTTAAACAATTTCTAAGGTCAAGGTCACTGTTATCAAAAATGAACTGTAGGGGTATAGTCCTTATCAGGGAATCCAAAAGTCTTATCTCTTTGAAATTTGACATGGTGAAACACTGTGATATATGTACTTGTGCAATAGGGGTTTAAAAAGTTTCTCATGTCAAGGTCACTGTTACTAGAAATAGACCATTGGGGTACAGTCCTTATCTTGGAATCAAAAAGACTGATCTTTTATAAATTAGACATGGTGAAACACTAATATGCAGATGTGTAAAAGGGGTTAAAACAAATTCAAGGTCAAGGTTACTGCTACTAAGAATTGGAGTACAGTCCGTGTTCTAGATTTGACATTGTTCTTTTCCATCATAATTTACTTTAACATCCTTCAAAGCAAGATATAATGAAAAAATGTGTCGGTCATTTTGTAGTTGTGTAGAATTCAGGAATTATTCAAAATATTCACCCGTGAGTAGAATTTTCCAATCCAAGACTGAACGATTATGGAATGTGACAAATTGGTACCAATTTATTCAGTATTAAGCCCAGGGAGCAAACACAATTTTAGATGGACTTGTTTCTGGATAATGAAATATCATTTGTTGGAAATTCTACTGACCTGCAGCAGGTTTGGGTGGGCTTATTACCAGGCATGGGCTTATTGCTGGACATTGTGATGTTCAACATTTCAAAAATTCCCATAAATTAGACCAAACCCTGATGTAAGAGTGAATTAGTTTCAGCTTCTTCCTGCACTCAGAAATATGGAAGAAATCTGTATTCAAAATCCTTCTTGAAATTTATTTTTGATGTTTTCATTATTTCTTCTAAGCATTTAGTATCATTCATTTCTCGATGAATTGCATTAAACGCAGTACACGGCTTAAAAAATGTAAGGAGATTATGAAGTAATCTGATTTTGTTTTGATATCCTTCAAAATCACATTTCAATAGGATGTGAGCTGACCAATAGCACATACCGTGGTAGTTTATTTGTGTGAAAAGTCACGGGTTCTCAGGTTTTATCTTGCCTTGATGTGAACAGTCAGTATATACATTCATAACTTGCCTTTACCAATACAATTAATATTTGTTTAACTTTACTTAGTGTTCGGTTATCATCGGCCAAAACTAAAGCTGCAACAGTTTTGAATATTTTGGCTTTTTTTTCTTTCTTTTTTTCACTTTTGGTATTTATTGAGAATTGAGGATTTCCTGATACTGGAAATATAACTGTATTAACAATAATGTTTAAGTGAAATGTTTTCGATACACATCTTTAATCTTGATATGTCCTCAATTCTGATTGGCTGTCAACAGTATGATATTCAAGCTATTAAATTTGATTATTTTATTTTGAAATTTAAAATTATTCATCGACCTTTCTGAACATAAATTTTGAAAATTTATGGTTTTTGTCCTGTCAGCCTGTGGCATTGCTGTCGGCAGGAAATTCAAAACGACCTTTAAACTCGTCACCTGACCTTTCTCCTCCGAGTAAGAGGAGGACCATTATGCCAGAGGTTTGTATGAAACAACAAATAAATATTCTATCCAAAAGGAATGGTAATAAATTTAGATCTAATATTTTAATATATATTATTTTAGATTTTCTTGATGCGCATAATATTGCCGATTCAATGTCTGTCAATTTTTATATGCAGTGTAAAAATGAAATGTACATGTTTGCAACAATGTCGGATAACTCAGATATAACATTTTATTGGCTAAAGTATTTTTTTTTTTTTTTAGCTTAAATTGATATTGATGATTTGATACCCGAACTATAATAATTAATGCTTAATACCATATTTAATACCCAGTATATAATATTTGCCATAGGTCTGCAACGATACATTAACATGTATCACGATACTGTGCTCACGATACGATACGTATCACAATCCATTAACATGTATCACGATACTGTGCTCACGATACATTAACATGTATCACGATACTGTGCTCACGATATGATACATTAAAGTAAGAGTAGAAGCAAAGATAAAAGATATGTTGCTAAATTTTGATGACAATATTACAACAGGGAATAGACCTTAAAGTTTCGCACAATTCACATCTTTTGACACGCATGCTGACCACTCCAACAGTGTTAGAGGTTTACACAGCGAGATACTTTTGACAGGCACCGTTGTTGCATTTGGCAAAATCAAATCCGATAGAAAAAAGGCTGATGCTGACCTGAAGCTGTCACGTACTCGCTATGTGGGAACGGATATTAGTAGACTAAATTCTAAAACAACAAAATCTGGAAAATATTGTAGGTATATATATATATATGTATATATATCGTGACCTCCAAAAAATGATTGTATATCTACCATATTCAAGATATCGTGATAACTCGTTGCAGCCCTAATTTGCCAGAACACTTAAAATGCATACACTTGATTAAGTATGTGAGAACTGTAGCAATAACTGTAATATGGTAACATGAAAATCAACAGGAGGGCCAGCCCACTCTGTATGACATGGTGTCCAGTCAACCAGTGCAGAGAGGTCAAACAAAGATGGGATACAGTACATTTGTCAAGGAAAACAGATCTCTTGGTATGTACAGTTAAACAGATCTCTTGGTATGTCCAGTTAAACATCTCTTGGTACGTACAGTTAAACAGATCTCCTGGTATGTACAGTTAAACAGCTCGCTCGGTATGTACAGTTCAACAGATCGCTCGGTCTGTACAGTTAAACAGATCACTTGGTATGTACAGTTAAACAGTTCTCTTGGTATGTCCAGTTAAACATCTCTTGGTACGTACAGTTAAACAGATCTCGCGGTATGTACAGTTAAACATATGGCTCGGTAGGTACAGTTAAACAGATCGCTCGGGATGTATATTTAAACAGATCGCTCGGTATGTACAGTTAGACAGATCGCTCGGTATGTACAGTTCAACAGATCGCTCGGGATGTACAGTTAAACAGAGCGATGAATGTACAGTTAAACAGATCGCTCGGGATGTACAGTTAAACAGAGCTCTTGGTATGTACAGTTACACAGATCGCTCGGTATGGACAGTTAAACAGATCGCTCGGGATGTACAGTTAAACAGAGCGATGAATGTACAGTTAAACAGATCGATCGGTATGTACAGTTAAAAAAACCGATGTATGTACAGTTAAACAGAGCTCTTGGTATGTACAGTTAACCAGATCTCTTGGTATGTACAGCTAAACAGATCTCTTGGTATGTCCAGTTAAACATCTCTTGGTACGTACAGTTAAACAGATCTCCCGGTATGTACAGTTAAACATCTCTTGGTACGTACAGTTAAACAGATCTCCTGGTATGTACAGTTAAACATATGGCTCGGTAGGTACAGTTAAACAGATCGCTCGGGATGTATATTTAAACAGATCGCTCGGTATGTACAGTTACACAGATCTCTTGGTATGTACAGTTACACAGATCGCTCGGTATGGACAGTTAAACAGATCGCTCGGGATGTACAGTTAAACAGAGCGATGAATGTACAGTTAAACAGATCTCTGGGTATGTACAGTTAAACAGTTCTCTTGGTATGTCCAGTTAAACATCTCTTGGTACGTACAGTTAAACAGATCTCCTGGTATGTACAGTTAAACAGTTCTCTTGGTATGTCCAGTTAAACATCTCTTGGTACGTACAGTTAAACAGATCTCCTGGTATGTACAGTTAAACAGATCACTGGGTATGTACAGTTAAACAGATCGCTCGGTATGTACAGTTAAACAGAGCGATGTATGTACAGTTAAACAGATCGCTCGGTATGTACAGTTAAACAGATCGCTCGGTATGTACAGTTTAACTTCTATTCAATACCTTTTGTTTTATTTTCTGAAGTAGTTCAATGTCCCTTTTTCCATATTTTTTGTACTGATTCGTACATGAGCATGTGTCTCTAAATAAATCACCAGCCCCTTTATAATGCCAAAATTTGCTTGAAAAATTGTGGCAGTATAATGAGGTTTTACTATATACTGCATATTTATATATATTGAAATCCCACCCAAGTCAAATTTCAAGTCCCAGAGTTTTAAAGTTACTACCGGTAATAGGTTTTTCAAGTCCATGAGCTTTTCAAGTCTGATTTATTCAAGTCCCCCTAAGTTCAACTGTTTTTCAACAATAAAATATTCTAAAATCACTTGATTTCCTTTCAAACAAATTTTTCACAATTTCCCAAAATGAGCAATAACAAGTATATCATTGTTTAAATTTGTCTAAAAATGAATCCACAATAAACAAAATATTTTCAAAAATGCAACAGGCTACACCTGGATAAGAGCTCTTTTATTAGGGCTCCGTATCAGAGATACGGGTGCCCTATATATAGAAATAACTCTGTCTGTCTGTCTGTCCACAAATTTTGTTCCTGGCTGATAACTTTGGTATTTATTTACCGATGTACATAAAACTTGGTCAAGATCTTCAGTTAACAAAAATACACATTGAGGTAAAAAGTCAAGGTCAAAGGTCAAGATCATTATGTTCAAAGGTCAAGGTCAAATTTTGTATCTTTTCACTGGTGAACATTTTGGTACGACACTTTGGAGCAATGTTGTTGCTCAGAATTAAACAAGGAGTCAACTGACCTAAGGTCAAGGTCACTCGGTCAAAGGTCAAGTTAAAATTTAGTATTTTTTGCTGGTGAACATTTCATTATGGCACTTTGAAGCAATGTTTGTGGGAATTAAACAAGGAGTCATTTGACCAAAGGGCAAGGTCACTGGGTCAAAGGTCAAGGTCAAATTTTGTATCTTTTCACTGATGAACATTTTGTTATGATATTATGAAGCAAAGTTGGTCGGAATTAAAGAATAAGTCAACTGACCAAAGATCAGGGTCACTGGGTTAATGGTCAAGGTCATTTGGGTCCAAAGGTCAAAGACAAAGTGGATCTCTGACTTTGACCCTGGTTCTTGATGGAGGAGGTATATAAGGTGAAATAAAACAAATCAAAGCTAACAAATGAGTATTGCACCGGTATTTACATTTCTGTTAGCCCAGCAAATATGGAGGTGGAAGGAAACAAGACTCACATCATAGTACATGTAAAATGTATATTTTGCTTCCTTGCGATTCTTTTTGAAGTCCAAATGTCATACGTCAAGCTCGTGCTTATGGGGGATATATTGCCACAAGACGGGGCCCTTACTGACCTGTCAGTGTTCTAGTTGATTTGGTTACCAGTGATTGACCTTGTCCAGATCTTGGTACAACATTCCCTACTTTTTCAATTTATTTCCCCAATAGTCCTGGAAACAGAGTACTTTTAATAAATTGGTCATGGGCACATTTGTAACAAACAGAACAGAAAAAAAAAGGATCAGAACTTTTATTACCAGGTAAACCAATTGAAATGTAGTTGTTGAATATTCGATTTCCATACACGTTTCTCCTTGTAGTTGTAGCTAAACGCCCTACCGCTACCTTTGATGACGTGACAAACATACTTAAGCATCAATGGGAGGAACTGTCACATGATTTACGACAGAAATATGAGAATGTCTCTCTTGAAAAGTCTGACCTTTGTTCACTAAGGTAAGCTATACAATGACAGCCTATATATAGTCAGTACATTGACTTTATTTATCCCAAAAGACTGTTTTCTTCTATTCTTTCATTAAAACTCTTAACTTTAAAAAAATCATGTTTGGGATAAAATCAGATCATCAATAGTCATTAGTCAAGAAACACATATAAGGTGAAATATTTCCAAAATTGAAAATTATCGGCTTGAATTTATTTTGACAACAAGGACCGAGGTGGCCAAGTGGTTAAGGCGTCTGACATTCTGATAATACTAGCCCTCCACCACTAGGTCATGGGTTTGAGGCCTACGTATATGTGGGGCAGTCCCCAGGAACTGGCCGTCGGTCAGTGGGGTTTTCTAGGAACTCCGGCTTTCCTCCACCGCCAAAACCTGGCACGTCCTTAAATGACCATAGCTGTTAATAGGACGAAAAACACAAATAAACCAAACCAAAATTATTTTGACATCACCAAGTTAATCATACTTAAAAGTTAGTTATGCTATCATATGTGTGTAGGTCAAGTCAAGATTATAATCAATCATTTGTGAGAAGGGCATTTATCTTGTAATAAGCCCAGCTCGGGACCCATAATTTCTAACACTGGTAGTAGGCTTGGCCTGTTACAGGACGATGAAATCACATTTGATAGCATATACACTGGACTGTTATATATACGGATTGGCTTATTACCAGGCATGGGCTTATTGCTGGGTAAATACCTGGTATGTCAGGTTTTTAAGCTAAAAATCATTTACGAGGTATGATGATTTATTCTTGAGAAACTCTTTTCCATCTATAATACTGCACTTGTACTTGATTCCAGGGAACCTGTTTCATCTACAAAATCGGGAAAGCACCTTGGAAATAAAATGAAGCTCAAAAGCAAAGTAGTACCGGTGAGTTTTGAATCTTACTTGAATTAATTGCTTTGATGTTAGTAAATGTGACAGCCATAGGTAGGAAAAGATTCATCCAACCAATGTCAAGATGTTACTCTACCTCATGTTATAACCAATGGATAATATTGTACACACTGTCAGAATAGTAGGTTTGATGTCCCTTATTTATCTGATTTGTTAAAATGGTCAATTTAATGGAATATGTTTTCCCAGATTCCAGGTCTAGTTGCCATGACAGAAAGTGATTTGGTAAGAAGTGAGTAAATTGCTAATAAATACATGTTGTATTTTTTCGTAGAACAGTTGGTACATATGAACTTCAAAAATAAACCCCTGCTAAAACAACAACTTAACAGAAGACATAAAAGTTAAAGAATTGTTAGTTTTGTTTATTAGCAAACTTTTACGTTGGTTCTACCATTGCTACCTTACAGACAGGTATCAGCATAAAAGATCAGCTACTGCTGGCAGCAGAAAGAAGGAAATCTAAAAGGGACACTGTCATTTCATTCTCCATGGAAAATTTACGAAAAAAGTTTTCCAGGCAGCTAAACATCAGGTTTGTATACTGATAAATTGAATGTTTCCTTTTCAAACTATAAATTCTCAAATCTCATTGGTCAATTTATTTTCTTGGCCAAATTATATGAAATAATTGAATACGTACCAAATTTTGACTTCAGGAAACCTCCTTCTCCAGTGAAATTGTTTTTGGCTTATGGTAAGCAATTATCAGACGAAACATTCAACAGACCAAACAAACTTGTTCCAGTTTCTCTGTAGTGAAAGCAACACAGAATATGTCGTCATGGAGGCATGGTAGTCTAGTGGTAGGATGCCGGGCTCGGTACCGTAGGGGTTTTCAGGTTCGAGTCCATCATGGCACTGTGTTGTATCTTTGAACAAGATACTTTACTCTGCTTGTTCCAGTCTACTCAGCTGTAAATGAGTATGTGGTTGGGCAGTGCTGGAATTGTTGAATGCTAGCTGTGAGCACCTAAATGGCAGGACCAGCTGTATGCTCCCCAGGGAGTTGAGAAAGATGTTGGCTGGCTGCAAAGGCCCTATAACCACGGATAATTATTTGTGAACCGCTTTGAGACGCCCTACAAACTAGGTTGTGATAAAGCGTTATATAAGAACCTCAAATTATTATAATTATCATTAGACATTTCCAAAATATCAAAATGTACACAGAACAATGTCTCCGACGGCTCGATACAAAGGCTAAGTGATAGGTCCTCCCAATTTAACTGGATATGTTCATGTCAGAAATGGAAGGCAGATTTACAGTTTGAAAAAAAGAGGATTTTTTATACATGATGAAAATTTGAAAAAGAAACACCATCAGTGCTTAAATAAAGTCAAACAAAACTGGTACAAGGTCAAAAATGAAGATCATGAAGTCAAAGAAATAGGTTTAAAGTTATAAAGCAATATGGTTTCAAGTTCAGCCAAAATAAGTTATAGGTCAAACTTTTTTAGATGATTGTAAGGAAGGAGGTAATGCAACATGGTTACTAGGTCAAACAAATATGTATTAAGGTCAAACAACATGATGACAGGGTCAAGCAAAAGGGGTCAAACAAAGTTGTGTTATGGTCAAACGAAGTAAGCACCGGGTCAAGCATTTTATGAAACAAAATATGTTCAAACAAAATATTTACAGAGTCAAACAAGATGATCAAAATGGTGCCAAAATCAAACAAAATAGTTAAAAGGTCAAATAAAATGGTGAATAGGTAATACAAAAAGGTTATAATGCTTAGAAATGTACAGTTCCACTTTTCATTGAATCTTGAAGAGTTAAAGGAACATTGATTTATTCAAGACAAAATGGACAAATTTAATCTGATATTAAAATATGTTAATTTCAAATCCTTATTTAATATTCCTAGCCAGGTGCCAAAGAGTCCAAAGTTGAACTTGATTGGCCATTTGAAGTCATGTGGTACATGGACATGTTGCCTTGGTGAGAAAATCTGCGTTTTGAATTGCCACCGTGTGCAAGAGACAGTTTTGTATCACCAGCTGATGTCGGACCACGTACTGTCGGTCACGCCCCTGGACCAGCCAATCAAACTCACTCCTCAGTAAGAAAATATCCATTACACCTAAATCACCTAAAATGAGAAATGGCCACTTTTTCTGTAAAATGAAAGCTTCTTTTATTTTTGTCCTATAGTGATTCTTTTGAATCCCAAATATCCTGATTGTTTTAGTAAGGAGCTCTTTTAAGTAGAAGTTTCAAATTAAAATGTCATGAAGCTTAGCAATGTGGAAGTAACTGTTTCATTTCTTGATTTATTATTTTTTAACACATTTCAGATAAGTTGTCTAGTATTGTATTTTAAATAAGTCTAGATTGGAGAATAAAATGGCAAATGATACAAACTAGCTTCACTGTTTTTCTTAAAGGATTTAACCCTTTCAACCCTAGGTAACTTTAATGGACTCTACCATACATTTAAATGGATGAGTCCATTACGGTCAACAGGGGTGAAGGAGTTAACCCCCAAAAAAATATATATATGATAAATTAATCTACAACACCAGTAGAAATTTTACATTTTCAGAAATGTTGGGGGTAAGAGTGAATGGGACTACCTCATGTCCTTAGATACAAACCGTTTCCCTGGCGATATATATAGCTTCATTACTGACGAGAGGATAGTGGACAATGGATTCAAGGTCAGATGTTACACAGGTAATTAATTCAAATAACGTTTTAACAATGTGAAGGACAACTCTGTGCTTATAAATACCCTATTTATTCAGAAATATGACCATGCGTGGTGATAAGCCCACCCAATTATATTACAGTTCAGTAGGCCCACCCAATTATATTACAGTTCAGAAGGCCCACCCAATTATATTACAGTTCAGTAGGCCCACCCAATGATATTACAGTTCAGAAGGCCCACCCAATTATATTACAGTTCAGAAGGCCAACCCAATTATTAGCTCACCTGGTCCGAAGGACCAAGGTGAGCTTATGCCATACCGTGGCGTCCATCGTCCGTTAGTCCGGCCGTACGTCCGTACGTCAACAATTTCTTTAAATAACTTCTTCTTCTTAACCACTGTTTGGAATTAATCTAAATTTGACCGGAAGCATCCCTAGGTGGTGGGGATTCAAAATTGTACAAATAATGGGGCTGACCCCCCAGGGGGCTGAGGGGCGGGGCCAAAAGGGGTCAATTTGCTCATATTGCTTTAAGTGACTTCTTCTCTGGAACTAAGAAGTGGATATCAACCATATTTGACTCGAAGCATTCCTAGGTGGTGGTGATTAAAAATTGTACAAATGGTGGGGCTGACTCCCCAGGGGGCTGAAGGGCGGGGCCAAAGGGGGCAATTTGGCTATATTGCTACAAACGACTTCTTCTGCAGAACTTTGCCATTTATATTGAACATATTTGGTCGGAAGTATTCATGGGAGGCAGGGATTCAAAATTGTACAAATGGTGGGGCTGACCCCCCGGGCTAAGGGGTGGGGCCAATAAAATGTATTACTTTGTTACTATGGTTGAGATCCCCACTATATAACCATATATACAATTGCTGAGTATAAAGAGAAGAATGCACATTTGCTTCCAGGATGTCTCTAGGGTCTGGCCCCACCCTTGGAGACATAGTCCCTGGGCCATAACTTGAAAACGGTTGAGATCCCCACCCCAAAACTATATATACAAATGCTACGCATAAAGAGACGAATGCAATCATGATATCAGAATAGACCCTGGGGTCTGACCAAACCCCGAGGGACCTAGTTTCTTAGTCACAGCTTGGAAACAGTTGAGAGCCCCACCCTATAACCGTATATGTACAATTGCTGAATAAAAAGAGATGATTGTACATATGCTTCCAGGTTTGCCTTGGGGACTGCCCCACGCTTGGAGACTTAACCCCTGGGTCATAACTTCAGTAGGCCCACCCAATTATATTACAGTTCAGTAGGCCCATCCAGTTATATTACAGATCAGAAGGCCCACCAAATTATATTACAGTTCAGAAGGCCCATCCAATTATATTACAGTTCAGAAGGCCCACCCAATTATATTACAGTTCAGAAGCTCGCCCAATGATATTACAGTTTAGAAGCCCACCCAATTATATAACAGTTCAGAAGCCCTCTCAATTATTAGCTCACCTGGCACGAAGTGCCAAGTGAGCTTATGCCGTGGTGCGGCGTCCGTCAGTCCGTCCGTCCTCGTCCGTCAACTTTTCCTTTAAACAACTTCTTCTGAAGAACGGACAGGCCTAGAGTCATGATATTTGGCTGAAAGCTTCATTGGTAGGAGCCCTACAAAGTTTGAGAACGAAAATGACCTTGACCTGTTTTCAAGGTCACAGGGGTCAAATATGTCAAAAACTTCAAACGACTTCTTCTAAAGAACTAAAAGGTATAGAATCTTCATATTTGGCTGATGGCTTCCTGGGATAGAGCCCAACAAAGTTTGAGAATGAAAATGACCTTGACCTACTTTCAAGGTCACAGGGGTCAAATGTGTCAAACACTTCAAACGACTTCTTCTGAAGAACTGAAAGGTATAGAATCTTTATATTTGGCTGGTGGCTTCCTGGGATAGAGACCAACAAAGTTTGAGAATGAAAATTAGTTTGACCTACTTTCAAGGTCACAGGGGTCAAATATGTCAAAAACTTCAAACGACTTCTTCTGAAGAATTAAAAGGTATAGAATCTTCATATTTGGCTGATGGCTTCCTTGGATGGAGCCCAACAAAGTTTGAGAATGAAAATTACCTTGACCTTCTTTCAAGGTCACAGGGGTCAAATGTGTCAAACACTTCAAACGACTTCTTCTGAAGAACTGAAAGGTATATAATCTTTATATTTGGCTGGTGGCTTCCTGGGATAGAGCCCAACAAAGTTTGAGAATGAAAACTAGTTTGACCTACTTTCAAGGTCACAGGGGTCATATATGTCAAAAGCTTCAAATGACTTCTTCTGAAGAACTGAAAGGTATAGAATCTTTATTTTTGATTGATGGCTTCCTTGGATAGAGCCCGACAAAGTTTGAGAATGAAAATGACCTTGACCTTCTTTCAAGGTCACAGGAGTCAAATGTGTCAGACACTTCAAACGACTTCTTCTGAAGAACTGAAAGGTATATAATCTCTATATTTGGCTTGTAGCTTCCTAGGAAAGAGCCGAACAAAGTTTGAGAATGAAAATGACCTTGACCTTCTTTTAAGGTCACATGAGGCAGATATGTCAAACACTTTAAACGACTTCTTCTGAAGAACTGGTAGTTATAAAATCTTAATATTTGGCAGGTGGCTTCCTGGGAAAGAGCCAAACAAAGTTTGCGAATGAAAATGACCTTGACCTACTTTCAAGGTCACAGCGTTCAAATATGTCAAACAGTTCAAACAGCTTCTTCTGAAGAATTAAAAGGCATAAAATTATAATATTTGGCTGGTGACTTCCCGGGATAGAGCTCACCAAAGTTTGCAAATGAAAATGACCTCAACCTACTTTAGAGGTCACAGAGGTCAACAACATTTTAATGGATTTGTTCTTGAGAACTAAAAGGAATGGATTCATAAGATTTGGCTGGTAGCTTTTTGGAATAGAGCTAACCAATTTGAGAAGGAAAATGACATTGACCTACTTACAAGATCACAGGGAAAAATATGTCCAACAACTTCTGAAGAAGAATCAAAAAGCATAGAATCTTATAATAATATTTTGCTGGTAGTTTCAACAGATGGAGCCAACAAAGTTTGCGAGGGAAATATTTTTAGTGCAATATAATATTTAATGAGAATATTTTGCTATGACTGCTTAAATATTCAGGTGAGCGATACAGGCCCTCTTGGGCCTCTTGTATTACAGTTCAGAAGGCCCACCCAATTATGGGCTTATGGCATGGTCCGGCGTCTGTCCGGCATCAACTTTTTACTTTAAACAACATTTTCTCAATAACCAAAAGGCCTACGATGATGATATTTGGCTTGTAGCATGCTGGGATGAAGGGCTACCAAGTCTGTTCAAATGAATGACATTGACGTATATTCAAGGTCACAGGGGTCAAATGTCTTAAATTCTTCAAACAAATTCTTCTCAATAACCAAAAGGTCCAGGGAACTGATATTTGGCCAGTAGCATGCTGGGATAAAGGGCTTCCAAGTTTGTTCAAATGAATGACCTTGACCCACTTTCAAGGTCACAGGGGTAAATGTCTTTAAATCTTCAAACGACTTATTCTCATTAACCAAAAGGCCCAGGGTACTGATATTAAGCTTGTAGCATGCTGGGATGAAGGGCTACCAAGTTTTTTCAAATGAAAGACCTTGAACCCCTTTAAGGTCACAGGGCTCAAATGTCGTAAAATCTTCAAATCACTTTTTCTCCATAACCAAACGGCCCAGGATACTGATATTGGGCCTGTAGCATGCTGGGATGAAGGGCTACCAAGTTTGGTCCTTGTTCGACATTCAAGGTCACAGGCGTCATATGTTTAAATCTTTTGATAGGTTCCTATGAATCAAACACTGATATTCTGCCTGTTGCTGTATTTTAGTCCACTTTCAAGATTACAAGTGTGAAATTAATACCAGATGAGCGACCAAGGTGAGCTTATGCCATACCGTTGCGTCCGTCCGTCAGTCCGTCCGTCCGTCCGTCCATCCGTCAACAATTTCTTTAAACAACTTCTTCTTCTTAACTACTGATTGGAATTCAACTAATTTTGACTGGAAGCATCCCTAGGTGGTGCAGAATCAAAATTGTACAAATGGTGGGGCTGACCCCCAGGGGGCTGAGGGACTGGGCAAAAAGGGGTCAATTTAGCAATATTGCTTTAAGCGACTTCTTCTCTGGAACCAAGAAGTGGATATCAACCATATTTGACTGGAAGCATCCCTAGGTGGTGGGGATTCAAAATTTTACAAATGATGGGGCTGAGGGACGGGGCAAAAAGGCGGCAATTTGGCTATATTGCTACAAAAGATTTCTTCTGTAGAACTATGCCATGGATATTCCCTCATATTTGGTCGGAAGCATTCACCCTCATATTTGGTCGGAAGCATTCATGGGAGGCAGGGATTCAAAATTGTACAAATGGTGGGGCTGACCCCCCGGGCTAAGGGGTGGGGCCAAAAAAGTGTATTACTTGGAAATGGTTGAGATCTCCACCATATAACTGAGTATAAAGAGAAGAATGCACATTTGCTTCCAGGATGTCCCTAGGGTCTGGCCCCACCCTTGGAGACATAGTCCCTGGGCCATAACTTTAAAACTGTTGAGATCCCACCCAAAGGTGGCAGAGTACAGTAGAAATGGCTTGACCCTAAAAATAAAGGGCATGTCTCGGATAAACATGGATAGCGGATTCATCCTGCACAACACACCTACATATATATATATATTTATAAACTACATTTTTAATAGGTGTTTTTTAGAAGAACATTTTTTTTTTCAAAAAGTAATTTCCCCAGATTTGGGACTTCTGAAAACCATGGTTACCACATCAAAAAACACCAAAATATGCAAAAAATCATGATTTTTAACCCAGAATTTGACCCCCGCAAGTAGAATTGTTTTTCTTAAAACCTGTCTGAAATTAAATATCGCCTACTCGGTAACAGAAATACTCACGTTTTAGCATAGGTCATTCCGGTGGATTTTTCACAATATTTACACATGTGCTGAGTACAAAAATAGACTACCTGAAAAGCTAGCTTTTGTTGTGTAGACACAGATTCGTAAATGCCCAAAATTGTAGTCTCAAACCAAATTCGACTTTTCTTTTTTTTAAATTATGAAGCCCACATAGTCCACTTCATCATGTATATGCCAATTTTAGTGCTGATTTTTTTTTTAAATTTTGATACATGTTATATTACAGGGGTTATTCATTGTATAAAAATATCACCCATGGCCACCGTACGCTACTGTACTCTGCTACCAAAACTACATATACAAATGCTGGGCATAAAAAGAAGAATGCAGTCATGATATCAAAATAGACCCTTGGGTCTGACCGAACCCCTAGGGACCTAGTTTGTTAGTCACAGCTTGGAAACAGTTAAGATCCCCACCCTATAACGGTATATACTATTGCTGAGTATAAAGAGATGATTGCACATATGCTTCCAGGTTGGCCTTGGGGACTGCCCCACCCTTGGAGACTTAACCCCTGGGTCATAACTTTGAAATGGTTTAGATCCCCACCCCAAAACTATATATACAATTGTTGGGCATAAAAAGACGAAGCCAGTCATGATATTAGAATTGATCCCAGGGTCTGCCCCACCCTTGCAGACTTAACCCCTGGGTCATAACTTTGAAACGGTTGAGATTCCCACCCCAAAACTATATATACAAATGCAGGACATAAAGAGACGAATGCAGTCATGATATTAGAATTGATCCTGGGGTCTGGCCACAACCCTAGGGACCTAGTTTCTGAGTCACAACTTGGAAACTGTTGAGATCCCCACCCCATACCCATACATAAAATTGCTGGACATGAACAATCTAATATAGATATGCTACAAGGATTGGCCTTGGGGTCTGGCATATTCCCTTGGATCTTATTAGGAGAATGTTTTGCCATGATTACTTAGATATCCAGGTGAGCAATACAGGCCCTCTAGGCTTCTTGTTTAGGTACAGGGTGAGCCCTGCGAATATATCGCCACTTTTGCCTGACTGTGTTTCAGTCCCGTGTGTTAGTCTTGGAACTAAAACACACCTTCTGAACTAAAACACACCTACACTTGGGTGTTTCAGCCAAGCCAATCAGGCGAGAGGTGGGCGGAGCTTGTTACCGAACTCGAAATTAATTAATTCAAACATATTTTATAGACATAAACAGTCAAAGGGATTGGGCACAAGTTCTTAAAACTTACTAGGCCCTCTACCGAAATTAATTGAAAATGACTTATGCAGTATTATATATTTTCTGATTGTAGATAAGGAGAATGGTACATCACAAGCGGATGTTGTCGCCTTGACGGCCTTTATTCCGGTATATGGTATTCCTGATCTGTCTGAAGTCTTAGAGCTAACCTGTACAACTGGAGCAGAGAGTGTGTCTAAGTCTCGCCCTCTAAAAGTCCTCAACTATCTACAGGTATAGACATTAAAAGATCTGAGTCTCGCCATCTCAATTAAGTACTTCAATTATAGACATTTTAGTGTCATGGTCGCCCACTCAAAGTCTACAAAAACTATTTACATTGTAGAGTGTATGTTTCAATCTCAGTGTCTGCAAGTCCTCAAATATGCAGAAGTGTAGACATTTAAAGAAACTGTTTCCCTGTCTCCTCTCACAGTCTGTAACTGTCTTCAGGTATTAAAATTCTAGAGGAAACATTCGAGTTTTGCCGTCTCAACATTCTACAAGTATAGAAGTTATAAGACTCATCCTTACAAAGTTCACAGAAACTACATTAAAGCGAGTGTGTTTCCGTCTCACTCTCTCAAAGCCTACATCTACCCGTAAGTATAAACATATAGAGTGGTTCTCATTGTCCACCGGTCTAAGTTCTCAGTTAGCTACAGGTATAGTGTCTCAGTTCTGCCATCTCAGACTTTCAGACTCATCTGCCTACAGGTCTGAATATTTCAGGCTCGTCTGCCTACAGGTCTTAAATATTTCAGGCTCGTCTGCCTACAGGTCTGAATATTTATATTTCAGATTCTGTCTTGCTCTTTTTCTCTACTGAGTGAGTCTCAATCTTACCATCTTTAAATCTGAAGCTGCCAAATTTGACGCATTGCAAGGAGAGGGTCAAGTCTTATGTATATCATATTATTTGACTTTTTGTAGGGAGAGGCTGTAAGAATGGCTAGGAAGTTACCACCCCTCCAGGACCGGGAGGAGGTACTGGAGTTACTAGACCAGATGACCACGATTTTCCCCGACGGCTGTAAAGTGTGTTTGCATGACAGATCGTTCTGTCATCCAATCTACGACATTGACGACCTTCCACAGACTCAGTCAGATATGACACAGGAGGTTTTGTCTTCCTGAAAACATTATATATCCGATCAGTTTTGACAGAATGTTATTACTAACTGAAAACAGAATCTCATAGATGTGACGCTTGAAGTTGTCTCATTCTTGAAAAACTTGCTAAAAATATTTATGTTGATTTTGTTCTGACATATATAAATTGCCATTTAGCGCTGCATCGGTCGAAGGATGTGCTACGTTTGTAGCCTGGGTTAAGGTAAATATCATAGAAAAGCATACACCGACTGAAGTTGAAATATGCCATTTATTAAAATTGAACTTCGTCAGGTGTGATACTATGATACAAAATAAGCTATTGTGCGGGAAAACACAGTTTTGGACAGTTTTCTCCTAAAAAGAACTTGAGTATGCATGTACTTGTTAAAGACTGTTGAAAGATTTGAATGTTTAGTTCAGGATTCACTTGAAATGTGTACTTGTTAAATGATGACAAGTTTATTCTGAATATAAAGTTTAGTACACATAATCTTTGTTACATGATGTTTGTGTTATACTGGGTTTGTGAACTTGACAAATTAAGTACTGTATAGCGGGTATATTTCGCTAGGGTTTTGATTTCGCTATATTCACGCTTCGACTAATATCCGCGAATTCTACACACCAGCAAAGTTATCTCAAAGTGTTGACCACTTTTACAGACCTTATCACAACATGTTGAAACTATTTATAACCCAACCCTGTTATGTAAGCTTAAATGAAGTCACTGGCAGGTGACAACACTCTGGAGCAGTGCTTTCAAACGGTTTACCTGTGTTCCGAGGTTTAAATGATGACACTCAAAATACTTTGCACAATACATGGGATTCAGGTGCACATCCAAATTCTAAAAATTCATTTGGTCTACAGAAGTGAAATTTGTCTCGTAGCTTGTTGGGGTAAAGGGCTATACAATTGTTAATTTTAAAAAAGTGAATGATCTTTACCAACTTTCAAGGCTACTGGGATAAATTGTATAAAATGCCCTCAAAATTATTTTCTAAAGATGCTCATAATACATATTGCAGTGAAGGATTATCAGGATTGTTTGAAAGAATAATATTCACTCGGTTTAACCCTTTCACCCCTATGTAACTTTAGTAGACTCTACCATGCATTGATCTTGATGAGTCCATTTTGGTCTACAGTGGTGAAAGTGTTAAAGATCAGTAACAAATATTCAAATGTACATAGGATTATGATATATGGCCTACTGCTTACATGGATATAGAGCTATCAAGTTTATTGCGATCGCCTTTTGTCCGCTGTCGTCCGTCGTGCATCTGTAAACAATTTACATTTTCGACTTCTTCTCAAAAACTACTGAACCAATTGCAATGAAATTTTGCAGGAACCTTCTATGGCAAAAGATGAACGGAAATTGTGACATATATGGTCCCCACTCCCCAGGGGCCTAAGGGCTTGGGCCAAAAAGGGTCAAATTGACTCGAAATTCAAAAAATCTTCTTCTCTACACCCAGATATGGTAGAATCAAATACTCTTCTTGGATGGAAGGGTCTTCAGGTACTTTACCAAAATTGTGAATTTCATGACCCCAGGATCTCACATTTCCCCCCGGGGAGTGGGTAAAGTTTACTATAGTTTATATTAGAAATTGACATTTTTGAGCATAATTTGTTTAATTTCCATTGGAAATCATTCAAACTTGGTTATAATTATAAGTATAGGATGATGATTTGATGGTATGCACATATTGACCCTGGATGACCCCCAAGGGCTGATGGGCGGGGCCAAAAGGGGTCAAATTGATTTGAATTTCAAAAATCTTCTTCTCTACACCACAAATATGGAAGAATCAAATACTCTTCATGGATGGAAGAGTCTTAAGGTACTTTACCAAAATTGTGAATTTCATGACCCCAGGGTCTGGAATTTCTCTTTGGGGAGGGGGGAAAGTTTACTAAAATTTATATATAGGAAATAGATATTATGAGCATAATGTGTTTAATTTTCGTTGGAAATCATTCAAACGATTGATTGAGTTTACAATAGTTCATATAGGAAAATGATATTTTCCAGAATGATTTTGTTACTTTCCATAACCGAAAACCCTAGGATGATGCTATTTGGCCAGTAGCATGCTTTGATAAAGGGCTACCAAGTTTGTTCAAATGAATGACCTTGACATATATTCAAGGTCACAGGGGTCAAATATGTTTTAAAAACCTTTAAACAACTTCTTCTGAATAACTAAGAGGCCTAGGGTAATGATATTTGGCCAGTAACATGCTAGGATGAATGACCTTTATTTCTATTCCAGGTCACAGGGGTCAAATATGTTTAAAACCTTTAAACAACTTCTTCTCAATAACCGAAAACCCTAGGATGATGCTATTATGCCAGTAGCATGCTGTGATAAAGGGCTACCAAGTTTGTTCAAATGAATGACATTGACTTATATTCAAGGTCACAGGGGTCAAATGTCTTAAAATCTTCAAACGACTTCTTCTCAATAACCAAAAGGCCCAGGGTACTGATATTTGGCCTGTAGCATGCTGGGATGAAGGGCTACCAAATTTGTTCAAATAAATTACCTTGAATCATATTCAAGGTTACTGGGGTTAAATATGTTATAAACCTTTAAACAACTTCTTCTGAATAACCAAGAGACATATGGTGCTTTAATTTGGCCATTAACATGCTGAGATGAAGGGCTACCAAGTTTGTTCAAATAAATGACCTTATCCATTTTCAAGGTCACAGGGGTCAAATATTTTAAAAACTAAACAACTTTTTCTGAATAACCAAAATTCCAAGGGTGATGATATTTGGCCAGTAGCATGCTTGGATGAAGGGCTACCAAGTTTGTTCAAATGAATGACCTTCGCTCATATTCAAGGCCACAGGGGTCAATTGTCTTAAAAACATTTACACATATACTCCTGAATAACCAAAAGCTCCAGGGTGATGATATTTGACCAGAAGCATGCTGGGATAAAGGGCTACTAACTTTGTTTAAATGAATAGCCTTCGCCCATATTCAAGGTCACAGGGGTCAATTGTCTTAAAACCCTTTAAACGACTTCTGTATAACCAAAAAGTTCAGGGTGACGATATTTGGCCAGAAGGATGTTGGCATGAAGGGCTACGAATTGTGTTCAAATGAATGACTTTCGCCCATATTCAAGGTCACAGTGGTTATTTGTATTAAAAACACTAAAAAACGAATTATAAACTACACTAAACTAAAGCGTCCGAGGAGATTGCTTGTTCATGTGAATGACCTTATCACACTTTCAAGGTCACATCTGGTCCATAGTGCATAAATCTTTAAAAGTCATCTTCTCAATAAACAAAAGGTATATGGCCATAAGGGTGGTGATATTTGACAAGTTGCATTCTGGGATGAAGGCTATAAAGTTTGTTCAATTTAATGTCCATGTTTGACTTTCAATGTCACAGGGGTCAAATTTGTTTTAATCTTTTAACAGGTTCTTCTGAATGACTTTAGTCAAGACACTGATATTTTGCCTGTAGCTTTATTTTAGTCCAGTGTTAAGGTTACTTACAATGGTGAGATTGATACCAGGTGAGCGATGCAGGTCCATTGGGCCTCTTGTTAATTTAAAGTTTAGTTAATTGATATTCCAATTTGAAATATGAAAGTTTGAAAATAAGTAAATATTATAACTCAAAATTTGATTTGAGCTATGCACTTGGCTATTCAGTAGTTGTTAAATTTTAACACATTTGACCCCTGTGACTATGAAGGTATGTCAAAGTCATTTATTCCACCAAGCTATAGCTTCTGGACGTTTGAAGTGTTCTTCTTGCATTTATGACCCCTGTGACCTTGAAAGTAAGTCAAAGTCTTCTTCATTTTTTTTTAGGGGGGAGAGGGGTTGTACAAGGAAACTACCAGCCAAATATAATGACTCTAGGTATTTTGGCCCTCTAGAAGAAGTCATTTCAAGTTCTAAACGTAATTGGCCCTTCTGACCTTTAATGAAGGTATTTTATAGAAATTCATACCAGAAATTTAGCTACCAGCCAAATATCCTGACTTTAGGCATTTTGGTTCTTAACGAAACCTTGATATAAGATTTTGGCATATTTGACCCCTTTGATCTTAAAAGTAGGTCAAAGTCAATCTCATTCTTATCCTAACATTGTTGGGTTCTATCCAAGGAAGTTAACAGCAAAATATTATGACTCATGTCCTTTCGGTTCTTCTGCTGAAGCTGTTGAAAAGTTTTTTGACATATTTGACCCCTATGACCTTGAATGAGCTAGCAGCCAAATTAATATCATGACTTTATGACCTTTCAGTACTTCAGTAAGTCAATTCAATGAAAAGTTGCTGGGATGGGTGGATGTTTGATGGACACTTTGCCACAGCATAAGCTCAGGCTCAAATCTTTTTTATGCCATACCGCAGCTTCCGTCGTCCGTCGTCCGTCGTCCATCCGTCTGTCAACTTTTCCTTTAAAACGCTACTAGTGCTGAACGGCCAAGTAGATTTTGACTAAATTTAGTCTGGAGCATCCTTAGGCCAAGGGGACTCATTTTGTATAAATGGTGGGTGTGCCCCCCCCCCCCCCCCCCCCCCTGGGGGCAGAGGGGCGGGGCCCAATAGGGGAAATAGAGGTAAAACCTTCAAAATCCTTCTTCTACCGTAGGGGAACATAGCAAATTTTTCTTTAAAATCCTTCTACTTCTGTAGGAATGACAGGATTTGGTCCATATTCGGTGTTGAGCATCCTTGGGTTAAGGTAAACCAATTTTGTATAAACAGTGGGTCTGAGGGGCGGTGCACAATATGGGAAATAGAGGTAAAATCTTTAAAATCCTTCTTCTGCCATAGGGATTAAGGGATTTTATCCTAATTTAGTCTGGAGCATCCTTTGGCCAAGGGGACTCAATTTTGTATAAACGATGGGTATGCCCCCCCCCCCCCCCTAGGGGCATAGGGGTTGGGTTCTGTTTGAAATTTGTTATATCTCAAGTACTGGATGGATCTTTCTAAAATTTCATATGTACTTACAGCACCTACCATGGAGTGCTATATCTTTACTTCATACCAATTATTTTAAACATATTCAGGTGAGCGATACAGGCCCTCTGGGCCTCTTGTTCTAAAAATACACAAGTCTCAACTTAAATTTAATTGTTCAAGGTATCATGGCCAGATTAGAAATTTGATATTATGTTGTAAGAAAGTGAACAGAAAACTTATTTAAAGTGAAGAAACCACTGTTTATTCAGCATAACATTAATACAATGTATAATAGATTTTAAAATGTAATGGTAATATTTTTTTCATGCATTTTTGGATCTTTGATTTTCCTTTCTAAGGCAGGACTGGACTATAGTGACGCTAATCACAAACCTTAAATATTATTCTTACAATCTGCTATACCAGCGAAACACGTGTCCTCCAAAAATATATAATTATCATACCTATAAATTATACTAGCTATGATCAAAATTATAATTTTTTGATCGAGGATCCAAAACCACTTACGAGTCTGGGAATTTTCAAATGGCCCCCATTACGAGTGTTTAAAGTACCAGGTATATTCTTTTGATATGGACTAAATCTGGTTTTTCATAAATTCCATTAGCTTAATGACTCATTAACAGAAAGTCATAAATATCTTCAAAATCCAAATTCCTGTCTTCAGATGTTCATTTAAAATATACAACTCTCCAAGCATGAAGGTTTTCTTTTTGAATTTCAATTTTTATTTCGAAAATAATGCCACATAATTTTTTTATTTCAGTCTTGATTTGTTCATCTTTACAACAACAAAATAAATATTTGAAGTGAAACAATTAATTTAGAGTGAAAAATTCATTTCCAAAGATATATTGATATTTACTGTATAAAATTAACATTTATATACATTGTATTTGTTAAATACATAATCATAAAAAATATGTACATTCATGGGATATCTGTACAAAACATTTTTCAACAAAATGTATTTTTTCCTTCTCTCGCTCTCTCGTATTCAATTCTTTCTGTGGTCCTTTTCAGCCTTCCTCTCTCAAATATCATACATGCTTCATTAGAAACAGTAAAAAAAATGTTAAATATTATTTGAATTGTAAACATCGAATGTAAAACATAACACATGCAAGGACGGGGTTGGTAAGACTATCGGTGTGGTATTAAAACTAAATTTGATTCTGTAACATCTATACCGTACAATAAATGTATACATGTACAACGCTTAAAGTCTTCATTGATAAATAGAATATAAATTTTATGTATAACAACATTAGGTGTTTTCTAGCCTTATTTAACACAAGGCAATATTTTCTTACAACACTTGTATTGGCAATATATATAAAAATAATTAAAGTAGATATTAAATTACAAAGCAATTCTAGTACACTTTGTATGTTCCACTTACTTTGTAATGATTCAACCTTTTTTAAACTTCAGTTTTCAATTTTTCAATTTGCTTGACTATCTTTATCAGGGCTGATCCAGCAAAAAAAAAATATTTGAAAATCCACCAGTCAATAACAAAGTTGTTAAGATTCGCTGAGGGCCATTTCCAAATGTTTTCAGTAACCTTCAGTACATTTCAATAAACACTGGTAAATTTTTGAAGTCAATTTTCAACTACACTGTAATTAAGGAGTACAGGATTTTGGTTTCATAAACCTGAATTATTTTTTCTTTTATTCAGGAGATTTCTGGAAACTTATGTGTTCAGATTAACTCATTCACCCCTGAAATTTCATAATGAACTATTCCAACCTTTGAATTGGAAGGGTTCAAATGAGTCTTCAGGGGTAAATGAGTAAAGAGTGTCACATCATAAATCTTGTCTCAAACTACAAGAAATTATGATTCCTCTGTATATACAGTTTAAGTAATTGCTTCCTGAACCAAAATATTGAAGATTTTTTCCGTTAAAGTCACCTTTTGAAAAGAAAAATCCTTCTGCCAGGTGTAGAAAAAGAACGAACGTGTGATGTCCAGAATGTCACTCATCGCGTCGGTGCTCGGAGCTGGTCAATCTTTGTGTTGGTCCGACTTGCTGGGAAAGGTGTTGGAGCATTTGAAGCTAAGTAAGGTGTAGCAGTAGGCATAGCAGGAGAAAACGCGGAGAAATACTCAGCAGCAAATTGAACAACATCCTCTGGTTTCCGCAAAAGTAAGAATTGGAGGAAATCCGCGAGTAGATTTTTAAGCTCGGGATGATGGCGGACATAGGACCCATGGTCTGCTTTTAGCTCCTCCTGCACAGAAAATATTAAAGAAATATTAAACTTACAGGAAAGAGTTGAAATAAAGACAATTCAACCCAATTGGAAGAGACAAAAAGGGGCTGAGATATAATGAATTGCAAGTCCTTTTATTTAGGCTAAGGCTAAAATTAGAAAATGGCCCAAGTTTCAAAAACATTCCTCATTTAAGGGTTTTTTTCCATAAAAAAAGCATAACTGGAGAAAATTGTTCATAGAGGCATATCTGTAAGTTAAATGTTTCTGAAAATGGGGCAAAATATATCTATTCCAATATACACAGTACAAGAGGCCCAGAGGGCCTGTATCGCTCACCTGTTTCTTTTGTTACATGAAACTGACATATAGGTAACTTCTGACCAAATTTGGTAACTAGAACACAAGACATTAACATCACTTAAACGCTTCTTAAGATATTGTTTGAAATTTCAAAATTTTAATTCTTTTAACCCACATTGACCTTTGACCTTATTACTGTAATATATAACATACCCAATCATTTTAAAGAGGAAAGTTTATAGCACTCTATCCCTGGTACCTACTGGCCAAATATCATGACCCTAGGCCTTATGGAACTAGAAAAGAAGATTGTTAAAGCTTTTAACCGATGTTGACGTTTGACCCTCCGACTAATACTTAAAGTTGACATTTGACCTCATTACTGTAAAAATATTTGCACTGCTGGTCTACATCACATACCTAAGTATCATGACTCTAGTCCAAATGGTTCTTAGGATATTGTTGTTTGAAGTTTTTAACATATTTGACCCCTGTGACCTTGAAAGTAGGTCAAGGTCATTTTAATGTGGAAACTGTATAGCACTCCATCCTAGGTACCTACTGGCATAATGTTATGACCCTGGGCCTTATGGAACTTGAGAAGAAGATTGTTAATTTTTTTATCATATTTGACCCCTGTGACCTTGAAAGTAGGTCAAAGTCATTTTAATGAGGAAACTTTATAGCACTCCATCCCAGGTACCTACTGGCCAAATATCATAATCCTAGGCCCTCAAGTTCTTCAGAAGAAGTCGCTCAAAGAAAACGTTGACGGACAGACGGGCGGACGTCACTGTACGGCATAAGCTCACATGGCCCTCCTCTCAAATCCAACTTATCCTCAATTGTTTGTTTTAATTAACAGTGACCTTGACCTTTAAAGACTTTTTAAAACGCTTTTGTACATCTTCATATCAGTGTATCACTCTGTATCACTCTGTCATATTTTAGAATGATAAGTCTTTCGGATTCAGAGATAGAAGTCTGTAACCCCCTATGATCTATATTTAGTAACAGCGACCTTGACCTTGACCTTAGAACTTTTCAAACCTCTATTGCATTTAGACTACATATCACAGTTTATCACTATGTCAAATTTCAAAATGGTTACACTTTTGGCTTCTGAGATAGGAACTGCACCCTCTCCCTACCCAATCGTCTATTTTTATTTACAGTGACCTCGACCATGACTTCAGAAACTTTAGAACCCCTTTTGCACATCAACACATTACAGTATATTACCATGTCAATTTTAAGAAAGTTTAATCTTTTAGATTCTGAGATAATCTCTGGAAACTAAAGTGTGGATGAACATATAAATGGACATGGACATATATATATATGTTTATTTCCCATGCAGGGTCCTAATTTTAGCTGTTGACTGATTTAGTGAGGTATTTTTGACAAAGTTAACATGTGATAGGGAAGACTTCTAATGAGGGAGATCCATGAATTTACCTTCCTGTCAAGGAACTTAGAATATAGCTGCATATCCTCATCCCACTGTAACGATCGCTTCTCAAATGTCGGTTTTGGCGGCTCCTCGTCTGAAAAATAAAGGTAAAAAAACTCTTACTTTTCTACCTTCCGTTCATAACTCGAGTTGTTTTTTCATTGGGAAAACAAAATGCACAACATTTATATTTTTAGGTCACCTGAGCTTTGCTCAAGAACCAGTGGATGGAATTTTTTCAAACTTGGTCAGAATCATCCTTGGTAGATGAGGCTACAAAATTGTATAATTTGGATACCTACTCCAATCCCAGGGGCAGGGTGGGGCCCCAAAGGAAAAATAAACTAATATTTTAAAAATGTTCTTCTCCAGACTCAGAGGTACTACAGTTAATTTCTCTGCATGGATGGAAAGATCATCAGGGGCTTTATATAAATTGTAAATTCCAGTACCCCGGGCCATCTGTTCTCCTTGGGGAGGGGGTAAAGTTTACTTTTGTTTATATAGGGAAATAACACTTTTGGGTATATTTTGTTCATTTTCAGTAAGAAATTAATCTTACTTGGTAAGAATCATCCTTGGAGGAAGATGATATCAAAGTGTAAAATTGGGATTCCTGCCCCAACTGCAGGGAAAATTGACCATTATTTCAAAAATCTTCTCCAAACTCAGAGGTAGTACAATCAAATTCTGTGCATGGGCTTTCTATCACCCCTGGGCCATTCGCTCTCCTTTGGGGAGGGGGTAAAGTTGACTTAAGTTTATGTAGGGAACAAGCAGGTAATTATTCAAACTTGGTTAGAATGATTATGATGCCAGATGGCAATTATATGGTATGAAAAATTAAGATCCTGCCCCATCCGTAGGGGCTGGAGGGATGGGGCCCAAATGGGGATTACGGTTAAAAGTTAGAAAATCTTCTTCATCAGACTCATATGTTTTACTGTTCATGGATAGAAAGGTCCTTACCTAAATTACCATTACCTAAATTGTAAATTTCATTATCCCCAAGGTCATCTGTGCTCCCTTGGGGAGAGAGTATAATTCTCAATAGCAAAATAATTTATTTGAATAGTTTTTAACGTTCTTATCCTTTGATGACATAACAAATATTGTATTTCACTTTGTTTACATGTTGATTTCCACATCACATCTCAGCAATGAAATTGAGCTACCAGTACCTTTAATATAACTCAGGTGACCGCTAAGGCCCTTGTGCCTCTTGTTATATACAAAACCATACAGCAAAATGGATACACTTACCCACAATAAACAATACCACAATTCTACATAATTAAGCCATGATGTTTTTTTACATCTATTAGAAATTAAAGAAAACTGCTTTATACTGAGTATATGTATTCAGGTTTTGCCCAGGGGTTTCACCAACTCTGCCATTTGTGAAATGACAAAGACATCACCACAACAGATACAGCAATAGAGGATCCCCGTGCCACTGCCAAAAATTGTAACTTAGAATTGGAAACTATTTTTCTGCCATTGCTATAGCTTTGATAAATCATTTCTAAAAAGAACAAGAGGCCCAAGGGCCTTATCACCTGAGATATAGTATAGGTACTGGTAGCTCAATTTCATTGCTGAGATGTGATGTGGAAAACAATATGTAAACTTAACTAAGTGAAATACAATACAAATGTCATCAAAGGATAAGAATTTTAAAATATTGGTAAATTTTCCCTTTGGGGGCCCCTCCCTAGCCACTTGGATGGGGCAGGAATCCCAATTTTACAATTTGAAAATCATCTTCCTCCAAGGATAATTCTGACCAAGTTTGAATGATTTTCTGCTAAAAATGGATTTCCCTATATAAACTAAAGTTAACTTTACCCCCTCCCAAAGAGAGAATGGATGGCCTGGGGTCCTGAAATTTCCAATTTCAATAAAACCCCTGATGATCTTTCTATCCATGCACAGAAATTGACTGTAGTACCTCTGAGTCTGGAGAAGAAGATTTTTGAAATATTGGCTAATTTTCCTTGTGGGGCCCCACCCTGGCGCCAGGGGTTGGGGTAGGAATCCCAATTTTACAATGACTGTTATACTGAGCTGGACAGGGATTCAACCCTGGACTTCAGACTGTTATACTGGGCTAGACAGGGATTCAACCCTGGACTTCAGACTGTTATACTGAGCTGGACAGGGATTCAACTCTGGACTTCAGACTGTTATACTGGGCTAGACAGGGATTCAACCCTGGACTTCAGACTGTTATACTAACGCTCTAACCGATTAAGCTACCTGGTCAACAGAAGTGACCTGGCCAAACTGTGCCACAGTTATATCCAACGGAAGTTAAGGGGAGGTTACTGTATAAAAACAACAGGGTAGTGGGACAGGGATCCTTAAGGAAGTTCAGGGGAGGTTACTGTATATAAACAACAGGGTAGTGGGAAAGGGATCCTTAAGGAGTTAAGGGGAGGTTACTGTATATAAACCACAGGGCAGTAGATCAGGGATCCTTAAGGAAGTTAAGGGGAGGCTACTGTATATAAATCACAGGACAAAGGATCAGGGATCCTTAAGGAAGTTAATGGGAGGTTACAGTATATAAACAACAGGGCAGTGGGACAGGGATCCTTAAAGTCATAAAACTGTGGTTGTTAAAGATGAGCCAAGATAATTAATTAACATATTCACCCCTAAAGACATATTTAAACTCATCCAATTCAATGGGTGGAATAGTTCATTATGAAATTTCAGATGTGAATGAGTAAAAGGACAATGGACTGACCTCTCATTATAAGGTTTGGTACTCTGGCCAGTTTCATTGTCACAGGAGATCCAACCTGCACACGATTTGTCAAATGTCTAAAAGAAGAAAAGAACACAATTTTGTAAGTGAACATAAACAACAGAAGTATAGAAAAATTCATGTAATTTATCCTGTTTCATCAATTTTACATCCAACTATGGAAACATCATTCTTGAGTTTTTCTTAATTCCTCAAAATACATGTATTTCCAATTCTCAATTATTACACTGCATGTTTGAAAGGCATTTCTCTTTTTATCTAACAAACATGGTGAAATATAGCAATTAATTGAAATATGATTCGGAGAAGAATTCTTGAAATTGGACCAATGACAAAAGACATGAATTTTAAACATACAGTATTTCATTGTATAAAGATACAAAGGGATTGGACAACAACTTATTTCAACTTGACCCTTAGGCTGCTACGTCCTCTCCTCAATACATATTGTAACTAGAAAATGTCTGTAAGACATAAATGCCGCCGCTGCCATGTGAAATTAGTTTCAGTGTTCTATAAAAAGTTACAACCACTTTGATCTTGATACCCTGAAACATGCACGCACACAAGGTACTACACTTAAAGTTGATTTTAATATTCATATGGGTTTTTTCTGTATGTTATTACCATCTCAATAACATATCGGATGAATTTGTCAATAACATATCGGATGAATTTGCTAAGTGTTTAAATTGAATCAGTAGATTATTTTCTATATATAGCAACAGTGACCTTGGCCTTGACCTTGGAACCCTGAAACACAACCATGTCCGAAGTATACTCATACTTGACCTTTGCATAAAGTTTGACCAAAATCCATGAAAGAATGAAGTTGCTAAGTGTTTAAATTGAATCAGTTGATGATTTTCTATATATAGCAATTGTGACCTTGGCCTTGACCTTGGATCCCTGAAATACAAAGATGTCCGAAGTATAATCATACTTGACCTTTGTAAAAAGTTTTACCAAAATCCATGAAAGAATGAAGTTGCTAAGTGTTTAAATTGAATCAGTTGATGATTTTCTATATATAGCAAGTGTGACCTTGGCCTTGACCTTGGATCCCTGAAACATAACGATGTCCGAAGTATACTCATACTTGACCTTTGTATAAAGTTTGACCAAAGTCTGCCAAAGAATGAAATTGCTAAGTGTTTACATTGAATCGGGACGGGACGGGACGGGGACGGGGACGGGACGGGACGGACATGGGTAACACTATATGCCCCCCCCCCACCCCATTTTATGGCGGGGGCATAAATAAATGTACAAATCTGTTTTGGGGGAACAGGAGAAGGAGGTTAGAGGTGAAGAAGGAGGTGGGGGGAGGGGGGTGTTACCTAGATTATACAATTATACAACAGCTATGAATCTGGGATGTACAATCTCATACACCGGTAAAATACAGCCCGCAGGCCGATTTTTAAAAAATTTACAAGTTCGACCAATATCATTGTCATGGTAAAATAGGGTAATGAAATTTTCCCTAGACTGGACATAAAATCTACTATAGCCCTGGGAGTCTGGCTAACGGAATTGTATACTCCTGTGAATGATATAGGTCATCATTTTTTCAAATATTGCTTCAATTCTTCTTATATTGAAGCAGTAAATGTTAAATGTCAATTTATAACTTGATAACTTACCCATCCTGCATAAAATACGATTGCCATGTTGTAGGAAGGTCCACCACAGAGTTAATAGTCCTCTCAACCCCATATACACGAATTTCAGTCCCGTCAACTGTCTGAGTCCGGTCCTCCAAGGGCCGCTATAATAGCAAACACAAGGCAAAGGTCAAAAGATGCATTTAAGGTGTTTTGCTATCTTACACATTATTGATGTGATTTGTGTTGATAATTTATCTCCCTTGGATATTTTAAATTTACAGCAAAATCAATCAATTTAATATGCGTTATCGTATACCTTCAGATTACAGGTGCTGGACAAACTATTATGATATGTAATATAGTACATCATATTAGTGTGTCCAGCACCTGTGTTTTAGATATGTAATTAATAGACTAACAATTGACACATTCAATATTATGTTGAACTCTCTTGGAAAGAAGATACATTTGTTAGTAAGGTAGCATACAACCTTAAGACTAAAGACATGGTTAGTTAAAAAAACTGTTAGGCCATCATTATTATATGTACAATTCTTGTTTCACTAATAATTTGAGATAGAAATCTTTAATGGTAATATATTAAAACTGTTCCATATTTTACGCAATTTGATGGCTAGAATGCTTGGCAATTATCGTTTGTGTTCCGAAAGTCTACTTACATATATAGCTGCACATATATTTGTGTCGGAGTCAAAGGACAGGAGTTGGAAGTCATCAGAGTGAAAGTTTTTCTCAATCAAAAGTCTATGCAGCAGTAAATTGGACCCTAAAACAAAGATTTAGAGTATCTACTGGCGGTAATAACCCTTTCACCCCTAGGTAACTTCAGTAGACTCTACCATGTATTGATCTGGATGAGTCCATTATGGTCTACAGTGGTGAAAGGGTTAAATGGATATATTACTGCGACGTACAACCTCAGTATAATGTAAATATTTGTTTATTGAAATGTTGGCATAATAAAGGGGTTTGGCAATATATTGAGGTAGACAAATAAAGGAGTTGTTATAAAAAAAGGAAAACAGGACCTTCAAATACTTGCTCATGAGACCACCTCTTTTAAGAGACCACTTTTAATGTATCCATGGTAGTGATTTCATGATTTCAGTGTGCAATGAACCTTTATCAAGAGACCACCTATACATTTTTCAGACAGAAAAATAAATAATCAAAAGACTGACAGAAAAAGCGATACACATATACTGGTTATACAATACTAGAGTGTGTAAAAGTACTGAAGAAGCCTTTAACATCAGTTTATAAAATGAGTGAATTTCTCTGTGTTTTTATAGGTCTACTCTGACAAAGATTACATTAATTACTTACCCTCAGATATACGGTAAATCTGCTTTGACAAAGATTACATTAATTACTTACCCTCACATATAAATCTACTCCGACAAAGAATACATTAATTACTTACCCTCAAATATACGGTCACTCTACTCTGACAAAGATTACATTAATTATTTACCCTCAGTTATACGGAAATTCTACTCTAACAAAGATTACATTAATTACTTACCCTCAGATATAAATCTGTTCTAACAAAGAATACATTAATTAATTACCCTCAGATATAAATTTACTCTTACAAAGAATACATTAATTACTTACCCTCAAATATACGGTCACTCTACTCTGACAAAGATTACATTAATTATTTACCCTCAGTTATACGGAAATTCTACTCTAACAAAGATTACATTAATTACTTACCCTCACATATAAATCTACTCCGACAAAGAATACATTAATTACTTACCCTCAAATATACGGTCACTCTACTCTGACAAAGATTACATTAATTATTTACCCTCAGTTATACGGAAATTCTACTCTAACAAAGATTACATTAATTACTTACCCTCACATATAAATCTACTCCGACAAAGAATACATTAATTACTTACCCTCACATATAAATCTACTCCGACAAAGAATACATTAATTACTTACCCTCATATATAAATCTACTCTGGCAAAGATTACATTATCTACTTACCCTCAGATATACGGTAAATCTTCTTTGACAAAGATTACATTAATTACTTACCCTCATATATACGGTAAATCTACTCTGACAAAGATTGCATTTATAACTTACCCTCAGATATACGGTAAATCTTCTTTGACAAAGATTACATTAATTACTTACCCTCGGATATATGGTAAATCTGCTCTGACAAAGAATACATTAATTAATTACCCTCAGATATAAATTTACTCTTACAAAGAATACATTAATTACTTACCCTCAAATATACGGTCACTCTACTCTGACAAAGATTACATTAATTATTTACCCTCAGTTATACGGAAATTCTACTCTAACAAAGATTACATTAATTACTTACCCTCGGATATACGGTAAAGCTGCTCTGACAAAGAATACATTAATTAATTACCCTCAGATATAAATTTACTCTTACAAAGAATACATTAATTACTTACCCTCAAATATACGGTCACTCTACTCTGACAAAGATTACATTAATTACTTACCCTCGGATATATGGTAAATCTGCTCTGACAAAGAATACATTAATTAATTACTCTCAGATATAAATCTACTCTGACAAAGAATTCATTAATTACTTACCCTCAGATATAAGGTAAATCTACTCTGACAAAGATTACGTTAATTACTTACCCCCAGATATACGGTAAATCTACTCTGACAAAGATTACATTTATAACTTATCCTCAGATATAAATCTACTCTGACAAAGATTACATTATCTACTTACCCTCAGATATACGGTAAATCTGCTTTGACAAAGATTACATTAATTACTTACCCTCGGATATACGGTAAATCTGCCCTGACAAAGAATACATTAATTACTTACCCTCATATATACCGTAAAGCTACTCTGACAAAGATTACATTAATTATTTACCCTCAGTTATACGGAAATTCTACTCTAACAAAGATTACATTAATTACTTACCCTCAGATATAAGGTAAATCTACTCTGACAAAGATTACGTTAATTACTTACCCCCAGATATACGGTAAATCTACTCTGACAAAGATTGCATTTATAACTTACCCTCATATATACGGTAAATCTACTCTGACAAAGATTACGTTAATTACTTACCCCCAGATATACGGTAAATCTACTCTGACAAAGAATACATTAATTACTTACCCTCAGATATAAGGTAAATCTACTCTGACAAAGATTACGTTAATTACTTACCCTCAGATATACGGTAAATCTTCTTTGACAAAGATTACATTAATTACTTACCCTCACATATAAATCTACTCCGACAAAGAATACATTAATTACTTACCCTCAGATATAAATCTGTTCTAACAAAGAATACATTAATTAATTACCCTCAGATATAAATTTACTCTTACAAAGAATACATTAATTACTTACCCTCAGATATAAATCTGGTCTGACAAAGAATACATTAATTAATTACTCTCAGATATAAATCTACTCTGACAAAGAATTCATTAATTACTTACCCTCAGATATAAGGTAAATCTACTCTGACAAAGATTACGTTAATTACTTTCCCTCAGATATACGGTAAATCTCCTCTGACAAAGATTACATTAATTACTTCCCCTCAGATATACGGTAAATCTACTCTGACGAAGAATACATTAATTACTTACCCTCATATATAAATCTAGTCTGACAAAGATTACATTTATAACTTATCCGCAGATATAAATCTACTCTGACAAAGTCTGTGTTTTTATAGGTCTACTCTGACAAAGATTACATTAATTATTTACCCTCAGTTATACGGAAATTCTACTCTAACAAAGATTACATTAATTACTTACCCTCGGATATATGGTAAATCTGCTCTGACAAAGAATACATTCATTACTTACCCTCAAATATACGGTAAATCTACTCTGACAAAGATTGCATTTATAACTTACCCTCAGATATACGGTAAATCTACTCTGACGAAGAATACATTAATTACTTACCCTCATATATACCGTAAAGCTACTCTGACAAAGATTACATTAATTATTTACCCTCAGTTATACGGAAATTCTACTCTAACAAAGATTACATTAATTACTTACCCTCATATATACCGTAAAGCTACTCTGACAAAGATTACATTAATTAATTACCCTCAGATATAAATTTACTCTTACAAAGAATACATTAATTACTTACCCTCACATATAAATCTACTCCGACAAAGAATACATTAATTACTTACCCTCAAATATACGGTGAATCTACTCTGACAAAGATTACATTAATTATTTACCCTCAGTTATACGGAAATTCTACTCTAACAAAGATTACATTAATTACTTACCCTCGGATATACGGTAAATCTGCTCTGACAAAGAATACATTAATTAATTACCCTCAGATATAAATTTACTCTTACAAAGAATACATTAATTACTTACCCTCATATATACCGTAAAGCTACTCTGACAAAGATTACATTAATTAATTACCCTCAGATATACGGTAAATCTACTCTGACGAAGAATACATTAATTACTTACCCTCATATATAAATCTACTCTGACAAAGATTACATTTATAACTTATCCGCAGATATAAATCTACTCTGACAAAGTCTGTGTTTTTATAGGTCTACTCTGACAAAGATTACATTAATTAATTACCCTCAGATATAAATTTACTCTTACAAAGAATACATTAATTACTTACCCTCACATATAAATCTACTCCGACAAAGAATACATTAATTACTTACCCTCAAATATACGGTCACTCTACTCTGACAAAGATTACATTAATTATTTACCCTCAGTTATACGGAAATTCTACTCTAACAAAGATTACATTAATTACTTACCCTCAGATATAAATCTGTTCTGACAAAGAATACATTAATTAATTACCCTCAGATATAAATCTACTCTGACAAAGAATACATTAATTACTTACCCTCAGATATAAATCTACTCTGACAAAGAATACATTAATTACTTACCCTCAGATATACGGTAAATCTGCTTTGACAAAGATTACATTAATTACTTACCCTCAGATATACGGTAAATCTGCTCTGACAAAGAATACATTAATTACTTACCCTCAGATATACGGTAAATCTGCTTTGACAAAGATTACATTAATTACTTACCCTCAGATATACGGTAAATCTGCTCTGACAAAGAATACATTAATTACTTACCCTCAGATATACGGTAAATCTGCTTTGACAAAGATTACATTAATTACTTACCCTCAGATATACGGTAAATCTACTCTGACAAAGATTACATTAATTACTTACCCTCAAATATAAATCTGTTCTGACAAAGAATACATTAATTTATTACCCTCAGATATAAATCTACTCTGACAAAGAATACATTAATTACTTACCCTCAGATATAAATCTACTCTGACAAAGAATACATTAATTACTTACCCTCAGATATAAATCTACTCTGACAAAGAATACATTAGTTACTTACCCTCAGATATAAATCCTTTCATCTTTGACAGTTCAATGCTTCTAGAAGATCTTTGGATATCCTGCAAAAGGCAATTTTACAGAATTTACAAAAAATATTTAAGTGGTAGCTGATGGCTGGGACAAGTAACCTTTAACCGTCAACAACAACAAAGTGATGTGTATAAGCAGCTTCTAGCCAACAGGAAAACTACCTTTACAGTACAAAGAAAAATATGTGATTATGGATTATCTAAAATTTAGATTCTCAATAAAAGGATACATTGGTGAATTTATCAGGATTTGTTTTTTATTGTAGGACAAATACCTAAAAAACGTTTTAGAATTAAACCTTACAAAGCTTTTTTCAGTAATAATAATAAATTACCATCGTAAATAGCTCATGTTACTATAATTACACGCCTAATGTGAACTTAACACTTGACTTTCTTAATCTAAAAATTGCCCTAAAGAAAAAGCACTTGATATTGGAGGAAACGATTTTCGTTAAAATCTTTTTTTCTTTTCTTTTCCATTTTTTTTTTTTTTTAAATGAAAAAAAAAATCTCTGCCATAAGTGACTGTAACACATACAAAAAGACTAGCTTAGTTTATGGCCAACTGGGGCTGGAACTCTGAAGGGCTCCTATGTTCAAAGGGTGATAGGCTTATCAATAATTTGGCACATCTATTTCATCTGAGGATATGTTCAAACATATTGAAATTTAAAACTAAAACTACTTGAAGTAAGAATCAACAAGAGGCCCAATGGACCTGCATCGCTCACCTGGTATTAATCTCACACATGTAATCTTTAAAGTGGACTAAAATACAGTTACAGGCAGAATATCAGTGTTTGATTCATAAGAACCTATTAAAATATTTAAACATATGAAGCCTGTGATCTTGAATGTCATGCAAGGACATTAGGTTGAAAGTGGGTCAAGGTCATTCATTTGAACAAACTTGGTAGTCCTTCATCCCAGCATGCTACAGGCCCAATATCAGTACCCTGGGCCTTTTGATTATTGAGAAGAAGTTGTTTGAAGATTTTAAGACATTTGACCCCTGAGACTTTCAAAGTGGGTCAAGGTCATTCATTTGAACAAATTTGACAGCCCTTCATCCCAGCATGCTACAGGCCATATATCAGTACCCTGGGCCTTTTGGTTATTGAGAAGACATCATTTGAAGATTTTCAGATATTTGACTCCTGTGACCTTGAAAGTTGGTCAAAGTCATTCACTTGGACAAACTTGGCAGCCCTTCATTCCAGCATGCTACAGGCCCAATATCAGTACCCTGTGCCTTTTGATTATTGAGAAGAAGTTGTTTGAAGAGTTTAAGACATTTTACCCCTGTGACCTTGAAAGTGGGTCAAGGTCATTCATTTGAACAATTTTGGTAACCCTTCATCCCAGCATGCTACAGGCCCAATATCAGTACCCTGTGCCTTTTGATTATTGAGAAGAAGTTGTTTGAAGATTTTAAGACATTTGACCCCTGAGACCTTCAAAGTGGGTCAAGGTCATTCATCCCAGCATGCTACTGTCCAAATATCATCAGCCTGGGCCTCTTCTTTATTCAGAAGTTGTTTAAAGTAAAACGTTTACGCCGGCCGGTCGCAGCACCATGCCATAAGTGCCCAAAGGGCCAAGTGAGCTAAAAACACTATCCAAAGATAATAAATTTATACAAAAACATCACAAAAATTGCATTTAATTATTTTTTTTGTCTCTCAGCTAATTGCACATTGAATAACTGGGCCAAGATACATAGACATACAAACAGGATGAAAAAGAATGAAAACTCCATTAAACCCTTTAAACTCAATATTGAATGTTAGAAATAAGTTTCCTTTGATCCGTGTCCATGATCTGTAATGGTTGCATGTTCTTTTAGATTCAAGAAGCACAGCATCCTAGATACCCTAGGGGTTACGCTCACTGTCGCTCTCTTCACCCCTGGAATATGTCATAGCAAACCGAAGGATCAGTGTGCGCCACCTTGTGGATGAGACAAGAAGACTAGTTTGATTCTTCCATGTACATCAAAAGAATCTCAGGGATGCGTAACGGTAAAATTGACAGGCTTTAAACTCGAGCGTCCCTTCTCTATAATCTTCAAAGGACAGGTATCAGCCTAGTGAATGGTCAAGGTTTTTTTACCTGAGGCCAATCAAACAGCTATCTTTTTGCCTTCGATTTTGCCATCATATTCGAGGGGTGCAGAGTATAATTCCTAGAGTATCGAAAGATGCAACCATAACTACATTCACAAATCCTTTTTCAAAGGTAATATGTCAAGTATTTCTTAACATTTTCTTCAGGTTGGTAAGTATGGATTATGATAAGTTCTTTTTACGGTTGTGTAAAAAGAACTTATCATAATGAAAAATAATATGTCTAGTAATTTTAATACAAGACAGTCGTTATATGGTCAAGAGTTGGCATTGCTACGATGCTGAAAAGCTGTGGTAAAATACTGTTAATTTCGTAACATTGATAACTAAACAAACAATAAATATTTTGCAAACAGGAAATACAAAAGAAAACAAAAACCTTACCCAAACACCTGAATATATAAACAATAGAAATAAAGGAAAGTCACCTATTGTCTGTCAAACTTAATTTGGTTTCTAATTTTTCTCACATATTGAATAAAATATCCTATCTATATTCACCATTCTAACCTCATTTCATTCTTATCTCTGAATTACTGAGTCTTTCCAGAAAAATTTGAATAGAACATAACAATATTTCTCTAAATTGAGTCTCCATTACTCCCCCCCCCCCCTTTTTTTAACTTTTATTTTGTTCTGGTTTGACTCCTTGGGCATAGTTAAATAGCTAAATGGGGAAGAATGGTGAAAATCATTGGAAAAGGAAAGCAAGAAGTTTAATTTCAATAACCCAACACTCCAGACTTAAGTAATTTTATGTCTGTGTTAGCACCAGTTTGCAATATTTACTGCAAAATTATAGATTTGGAAAAGTAAAATGTTTCAAAATCTTCCAATTCTCTAAATGAAAAATTGTACACCCCTGGGAAAAACTACATAACATAAAATTTATAAACAAAATAACATAAATCAAATATAGAAAACTAACAGTAGCTCTAATATAGATAGAGCTTAAATATTTACGAAATTCTTCATCCAAGGCTGTCAAGAAAAGACAAAATGATGATTGACAAAATGAAGTTAATACTGACAAAATATATATGCATGAATGAAAAAGACATTTAGAGCAAAAGAGTTTGAAAACAAATACAAAAATATATTTTCTTCTTCAGTTTTGAGAATGCAAGCAAAAACAGATAGCCATCAATTACATTAACACTCAAAATTCATTTCCAGAGAAGTTTTCCAAATTTTTGATGGTCTTCTTGTTGATAATATATCCAGAAAGTCTTAAAAGCTAATCAACCAAATACAGTCAGATAGCAGTCTAAAAGGTAGAAATGGGGTAAAAAAGTAGGGTAAACAGCAGGCATGCTAGGATACCTTGCAGTAGAAAAGAAAAGAAGATTGACATTACAGTAAGTGTTGCAGCAGAAAATCAATGGTTGTCTCTTCAATGTCCCATAAAAGAGGATAATGCCCCCCTCATACACACACATTAATCACATCTTACAATCATACAGTGAGATACAGCAGGTGAATTTCCCCCCCAAAAGCTGATACAAACCTCTCCTTGTGTTATTACTCTGTTCACCACATAACAGTCCTCTTGTTGAACTATAAATGTCTTCCTGTCCAGAGGGCAGTTTTCAAGCTAAAATGTCAAAATTTGTCATGAATGTTTACTGATTACGTTTGAAAATAACCATCAAGTTTTCATATTCAATTTATATTTAAGTTTGTAGCCATATTAATACTGTAAATGTTCATATTTCAGTGGAATTCTTATTTTAGCACATTTTGAGCTACAAACCGGGCACTTAATTATGATTGTGTTTATTGTATACTTTTTACTGTATATAACTCATTCACCCCTGAAATTTCATAACAAACTATTCCAACGTTAACCTTTCCATTGGAAGAATTCAAATGTGTCTTCACTCTTCAGGGGTGAATGAGACAATATACTCTATAATGTGAATGTACCAATTCATCAATGCACTAGTTAATATGTTAAAATTCAATAATACACTTAAATTTTAGCATGCACAAATGAATACCGCTGCTTTTTTACAGTATGTGTATCTATTTTTTCTGAACTAAATTCATTTTGATTAACTTTTTAAAGGACTATTCCTTAAACTAACAATCATTCTTATAGTGATAAGTGTACGATATTGGAATCTTTTGAATTGATTCAGGTCTCAAATATTCACATAATGCATTCAATACATCTTTACAGAGATACAAGTTTCCGGAACCAAAGTCACATGATTTTGTGATCATGTGGTACATTAAGGGGGGGGGGGGGGGGGGGGGGGCGGGGGGGGGGGGGGCTGTATACTTTCAGTATGAAGTAAAATCAGTAATAAACCAACTTAATAGCAGTGTAAGATCATTTTTTGTTGGAAACAGCTGAAACTTTTCATCCTCCATAAAAGAAATATCTACTGACTAGTCCCCAGTTGGAAACTGCCCATCACTGTTTCTGCATATTATTCTAACTACTGTCAGAGAGAAAAAGTATCTTGAAAACAACATCTTAATTTGCTGAATTTGAAAAAGAAAATGGTGTCAAGATAAATACTATATTGTCCCATATGTCAACTTTACCTTTACATATTCGTGGTGTTGTTGTTCGATGGTCTCAAGGTTCTGTCCGACATAAGCTGTGATTGATGTGCCACAAGGGACACCATCTATCGACCCATGACTGTTTGCATGTATGAGATAGCAATCTTGTTGTTTGTGACGTGTTGGCTCTACAGAAACGGTAAATTCCCCCAGTTCTCTCCCCTGTTTTGAACCACTTGTGTATGTATCCGTCGAGGTTGTCAACAGGCTGTCATCAAACATCAAATATTTAAAGTCCTCTTCAGGAACTGCAATTAAATCAAAACATAATATGAATTACTTTATTTGATATGTGAATCTGTTTCCAGAGAGCTCTGTTTATCAGCAGCAATTGCTATGAAGCAGTTTATGTGTTTTCATTCTAAATTTTCTCTTTGATTAGCATTAAATTACACTTTATTGCTTTAAATAATGGTAAAAGTTTTATATATATATATAAACTTTATTTATTTTACAACAATCATGAAACAACTTATATTAATCACTCTTGTAAGTCCGGATCCATCACGGACTGTCTAAATGTGGGAGGAAACCAGAGTACCCGGAGAAAACCCACCATAAATTACTGAAGTAGCTTAGAATGTTTTACTCCATGCAACCTAGTACTATTAAATATGAATGACTTGCCTCATCTGCCCGGGCTGGGTATTTGATCTGATGATGCAATGTATAAAATATGTCTCGTTATCAGTTCTAAAAAGCTACGTTATCACAGCTACAAATGTATGTGCAACCTGAACCATGAATGTTTGACATCACTACAAGTTCCAACAGTTATCCTAGTTGCTGTTTAACTTACTATAAATCTTCATTTCATCTTGTTAACAGTTATCTGTCTCTAAAGTGAAACAACTTCACCTGTACTGAAAACAGGTCTGTAACCTGACACAGAGGTGAGGTATAGAGATCAGCGCAGTAAAAGATGTTGACCTTTATCATTTACCTAAAACCTATTTATTTACAACACAGATTTAACAACTGCTGCCCACCCTCTCCAGACCTTTCCCCTGTTTCACAAGAAATAACTATTCAAATCAGGGCCTTAGCAGACCAGTTTGGACTAGTTTTGTTTAACGTCCTATTAACAGCTAAGGTCATTTAAGGATGTGCCTCCATGTATGTAGTGTATGCAGGAGACAGGGTATATTGGTGTGCTTGCCTCCTTGTGATAGTGCGGATCTAATGCTGACTTTATACCAATCTAATTACACGACATATCAGTAAACGAGAGTGATGTGAAGATATAATTTTAATTAGATTGACTTTATACTGCTATCTCAAAACTCTTTAAATGGCAGTGTGCATACAGTAACAACAAAGAACTTTAATGCCATAAACAACTTATGGATCGAACACTTGCTGAAATATATATGATGCATGATATATGGGATTTACCTATGCCTTCCAAGAACTTAACGGCAGCATCACTTGGTTCTGGTACTTCCTCTGGAACTGTTTCTTGGACTGCTGTGGGCACCTGGGACGGTGCCTCAGATGTTGTGAGACTATAAAATAAAATCACACATCGTAACTGGGTCATCAAATTAGTTATTTCATACAGGATCCTGTTAAGTAAGTGATCAATCAGATACATGTTAAACAGCACTGGCAGTCAATTATCATCGATGAATACGATACTTTTTTGTGCTATATATTACAAACCTTGTGATCGTTGTTGCACTCATCGTGTTAGATGTGCAGGATGTTTATGTTTAGACAGAATTTAAGTCCCTGCTTCTGACTAGATGAACTTAAACTGGGGATTTTTCAACTTTTATCCATCTGTCAAGAGCAATAATGTCTCTATGGCAATAGCGATACTAATACTACTTCCGGTAATTTCATAACGGTGTATTCTAACGAACAAATTGAATAGGCATCACAGGGTCCGGAATGTTTTAACTAATAACATACAATTGTAAAATTATCTTATGATATATGATTATTCACCAAATTTTATTTGAAAACACAACACGTTCAGTGGATGCCACGGAAAACAATATATTACCATTGTAATGATAACCAATTTAAATAATAAAGATTAGACAAAAAATATACCAAATATTCGAAATAATTGAACCTAATGACTTTCCAGGGTTCACTTATCCGTTCTCTTCAAAAGCTTAAAAAAAACGTATGTCCTTTAAATCTTGTTCTTGCCTCTCAAATGAAACCACGGCTTACGAGGAGATACATTTTCCGGATATTGTTTATTATTTTAGTGTAATCCTCACAAGTAAAGGGGGATAATCGTAACAAATATTCGTGCGTGTTATTCTACATAATTTCCTCAAAGATCAACATGGAAGTTGACAACAGGAAAGTACAGCTGCAGCAGCAGGTTTATATTTAGATATTTTACTAATGATTTTGGAAAAAAAATCCGATGAGTGAAATCATCTTTAATTACATGTCTTTTATATGATACGCGCTCTCGCTGACAGTTCATTATGTTTAGTTCTACCACGGACTTAGATAACACAGGGACAGTATATCTATACGTCCCTGGACGGCAGCACGATTTACCCAAAAAGACCCCAAAACACCCCAAAAGACCCAAAAAACACCCAAAAAACCCCACAAAACACCCCAAAACACCAAAAAAAACCAACACAAACACATGAAAAATGTTCAGATATTTTTATGCCTGCTTCCTGTCATTATGTAACATAATGATGTTTCCCGTTAATTGAATAGTTATATCGACGCGAGTAATATTAACAATATACGTATTTGAGTTACTTCCCCTGCAACAAGTTTACCGTTTGCCTATTCACAAAAGTTTTATCGATAAATGTTATTTATTCTCACTCTTTCCACATTATTTGACATAGGTAGCCTATGTTTATTTCGTATTTGACAAGTGCTTTGTTCTTAAGAGGATACTGTTTGAAGTGTTAAATTCATACTTTTTTTAACAGTCTGATTATTTCAATCTATTTTGCGTTTTTCGAGTGAATCATTTGGGTGCTTTTTTTTGAAAGTTATTGGCCCTAAAAAGGGCCGTTTTATGATACGTATTTCCTCTTAATGCTTCTGTGTGGAGGCGATGATTCTTCGGATTCTGGACATATACTTCTTTCTTCCTGTATTAACGGTGATCAGTTCACTGGTTTGAAGATGGACCAGGTCTTGTAGATAGTCAGTCGGGTACTTAATGTCTTTGAACTGTACGAAGTGCTTTCCAAATTTCTTGTGGAGAAGTTGGTTTATACGTATCCGTTGACATTCATACGCCTCTTTTGTCAGAACAGGAACTTTACTGAAGTTACCCTTGTGATGATTTCGGCCACCCATACCTTCTTCATTCCAGCATTATTGAATGTAAAAACCAACTCGACAATTCTTTCAAAAATCTCCCTTGGTGTATATGTGGGTGAGATGTCATTACCTCCGACGTGGAGGAATGCAAATTCTGCACCTGTTGCTATGGCTTGCCTAACAAATCGCTGGTCCATCCTGTCTGTCCTCAAACCACCCCTGCCAAAGAATACAGTATTCACGCCAGAAATACATAGGTCTCCATCACAATGGCGCCGAAGTCTTTCAATGTAGCTGCTACCATATAGAATCAAAGTAGGCATGGTTGTTTGATTGTAATTATTACTTTTGTTTTTATAAAAAAATCCCTTAAATGGTACATATATATAAGTGTGTGTCCGTCCGTGTATCGTGTATTGAGGTCAAATTGTGTAGGAGAAGGTGGTAGTGTGTTAGGAGTGGATAGAACATTTAATCTAGGGAAATGTTTTGTGACCACGCTCACATACAAAAATCAGGGTGTGGTACACAAGAAAACAGGCGAAAATCCCATTATGCTAGGACCAATGTTTTTACATTGGGATGGGGAAATGAAGACATACCACTCGTTTTTCTCTCATGTTAGGGCAGAATTAGGCAATGTGCCCGTTACTGTTGGTAGTGATGAAGAGCGTGCTATGACGAATGCCTTGCATGACTGCTTTCCAAATGGAAATTTCCTGTTATGTACCAAACATATCAAAGAAAACATCATTAGGTTCTTAGAAAAATCTGGTACTTCTTTAAAAGACAGGCAACACATAATCAACATCATATTTGGCGAAGACGGAATCGTTTTCAGCAAAGATGATCTTGAGTATGAATCAAGAAAAGCAGAGCTTGAACAATATTTTGAAAAAAATACAAAGTTTCAGCATTATTGGTTAAAGTTTCTTGAATGCAAAATCAAAGCATATGTCATGGCACCTCTTCGGGAAAAGAAAGTCAATGCTCTTTGGACCAACAACAATTCGGAGTCAATTAATAACAGATTGAAACAGGTTGCCAATTTCAAACAGCATAAATTACCTCAGCTAGTTGAAAAAATGGCCTTAGTGTCTCAAATGCAGATACTTGATTTAAGACGGGCATTACATGGAACTGGCAACTTTAGGCTAGAAGGCAAAACTACATCATTTGAGGTGGACCAGGAAATTTGGAATAAAAAAACACAAAAAGAAAAAGACGTATATTTTAGAACCTTTTTGGCGAAAAGAAAGAATATTACCCGCGAAAGCAATTTTGCTAAGGCTTCAGGCACAGACTTCTTGTGCCCAAAACCTAAGCAAAACTGTGGCAAAAAGCCATGTCAAAGGAAAAGACAAAAATCTGAAAGATCGAGAACAGTAAAAAAAAAAAATAGGCCAGTTCCATGAGTATTGGGTCACAAGTATCAACTGTACAGGGAATTTTGTGTCACGTCTTCATTTCCTTCCCCATTTCTCTTATGCTACATATTTATAGATTATTGTATTGGTGAATCACAACATGATCCGCTATCTCTTCAGATATTGCTTTTCGCAAATGGACATGTTGTGTCATTCATTAGTTTAATTCTATTTAATGTCATACATTCTTCATCCGCCATTTTCCTTAGGTTATTTTATAGTGTTGTTTAAATTCCAAGTATTTAGGATATATGTTTTTTCCATTATTTACGTGGAAGATATCTCTTGGGATATTTATCTTTCCAAAAAATTAACCATATAAGCGGATCTAGTTCACTTACACGTGTATAAGTAAACTAGATCCGCTTATATGGTTTATTTTTTTCATTTTATATTATACTTGTTGATTTCGTTTTATTTGTATTATAACGTTTTCATTACACACTTCCATATACAATTGTTTTATTATATCAACTGATTGTTTAAAATTGTGACAACTTGTTCAAATAATATTTATTTCAACAATTCTTTTATTACCATTTATGTTTTATGTACTGCAAATGTATTTTCACAAATTTTAACAAACTTATTTTCATCGTTGTGTTTGTAATCTATGTATATATATGTGTTAAAATATGATTATCAAAATAAATGGTTATGATCAAATAATCTGACTGTGAGTCTTGATGTAATAATGCTGTCATCTGTAACATCGCGATGCAAGGGAGGTAACACATATACCATACTCTCGTAATTTCGAATTGAAGGAATTGACAGTTGATGCCGAAAAAACAGGTTACTACATTATAATATTAACTGAATATCATTTAAGTGTCGTCTGTGTTTTTGTGTGGTCTTATCGGTGTTTTTGGGTGTTTTTTGGGTGTTTTTGTGTGTTTTTGGGGTCTTTTTGGGTGTTTTGGGGTCTTTTTGGGTAAATCGTGCTACCCTCCCTGGATAACATTAGCTAATCTAATTCCGTGGTTCTACTTTCATTTATCACTCTGAGTCTGAGCACATGCAGTGCCAGTGGCTCGTTACAAACCAGAAATGTATAATATTTATAGAGATAAATTATTGATAACATTACCAACACCAACAAAAAACAATCTTTAATTGTTTTATTTAGCAGGTCTAGAACACTCGGCCGATTGAGCTATATACATTGTAGCTATATTCACCTATAAATTATAGCTGTATTGAGCTATATATTCTCAGATTTCAATTTTCATTAAATTAAAGCAAAGTTGCATAAAACAACAAGGTTTATGGTAATGTTGATTACAAAAAGCATACAGTTAGATGTTTATTTTATTTTTCATAAATGTAAAATTTCCGATTTTTTTACATCATTATTTTTTTTAATGAGTCAATAGAGCTATTATAGGTCTTTACAGCTATATAGCTCAATCGGCAGTGTACTGGACCTGTTTAGGTATAGATCGAATTGGTATAATATTTAACCAAAATTTAATGAATTCAGATATACTGGTTGGATATTTTTTTGTAATTATGTTCCTATAGCTAGTACTGTTTATCTTTATCATGTGCAAAAATGTTTTGCTTTGAAAAAATAAATGTCATTAGACATAGTATCTGAAACCATTTTCTGACCAGTTACTTCAGATGTATTATCCCACTGACTGATTTTCCATGTGCATTAGCACTGGACATTTCAATTTACATTTCATTCATAAATAGTCACATAATATTTAACTTAATTTTTATCCCCAGATAAAGGGAAAACAGGTGCTCCATGGTGAATTGTCAACCTTGAAGAAAGAAGCTGTAAGTTTGGATGTACAATCTGTTTTAAGTAGCAATTTATTTTATTAATATTTAATTTTGCATAACATTTATTATAAACTACATATGTACCTGGTTCTTCTGTTTTCATTGAGGATCATGATTTTAACGTTATTGTTTGCGATTGTTTAAATTCTCTTATTGATTATAGACCATGAGTGTAACATTAACATTCACTAACACAATGTTAGTGCTATAGTCACTACATTCATGTAATATAAGTACTCCTTACAGTTACGTCCGTGTAATATAAGTACTCCTTACAGTTACGTCCATGTAATATAAGTACTCCTTACAGTTACGTCCATGTAATATAAGTACTCCTTACAGTTACGTC